CTTCCCTCCATTGTGGACTTGCATAAGCAAGCTGGTAATGGACAGCAAACTGGTAAATCTTCTGGACAATATGATTGTTTGGTGGCCCATTGTGAAGGAGTGTGCAGTATTGTTTAAAAGCCAATTAAATTGATTGTTATTTATTCAAGAGTAACTTGTGAAATAAGCGGGCACGTTAGGGTGGAAAAAAAAGAGTTCAAAGAATGGTTGGCATCTTGAAATGCTCGTCATGCCTTTTAATTGACTATAGGCCCTGGAATTGGCTGCTGGTGCAGAGATCCTTTTATCAGTATATGACCTGTGGGGCTGTATATGCAGAAGAAGAAAAAATATTTAAAAAATAAATGCTCCTGCTAAACAAAGAAACAAGGAAGTCCTCATATCCTCCCTGACTTTACCTATCCAAAAGGCACAAGGAGAATGGATGCCAACAAAGGCAGGAAGATAAAGAATGAGAAGGCGGGTGTACTGCAGTCACACAGTGGGAATGGGTCTCATGCCTGGTCTGGTCCCTGCCCAATATAGCGCCTGGGTGCAGAGACAGGGACAGGAAGCTGTGGCCCATAGGATAACATTGTTATATGGAAGCTGTCTGGGAGACATTTCCCTCAGTCAGAGTAGCTATTTAGGAGCAGCATGGGTGGCATTTGGTCTGCCTTGCATAATATATCCAAGCTCATGTAAATATGCAGCAAAAGTTGTTTTTTTTTCCAACATGCACCTACTCTCTATGTGCATAATTCATAGATGAGGCATGATCTCACACCCACAGAAATGCCCCCCCCCTCCCCCACCGTCATGTAAATTTGACTGCAGCAGTTGTTGAATGACAGGTATAAGATGTCAGGATGGTGTGCACACAGGATGCAGGCACGGCTGCCAACGTCGCTGCTGCCGACAGCCTCAACGGTTGACATAGTAAATCAATCCTGATGGGAGGGTGGGTGGGATGGAGGCAGAGAGAGGGGGGGTGTAGGGAGGGGGAGTCCAATGGGACTGAGTAGGCCTCTGTCAGACACACTCAGCCACTCAGCCGGCCAGAGAGAGAGACTGTCGACGGGTGGGAGAACACTCGCCGGGAAGCGCTCACACGGAGATTGAGTTACCACGGAATTAGATCAGGGCTGTGGGAAACAGCACCTCCTAAACACACTTGCACACTCTTGGTCACACACACATAAACACATGCAGACGCACCGGCACACACACTCAGGCTGCACTCTTGCACACACAAAGGAATCACCAAGGGAAACCTGAGGGAAGATTGAGAAAGGCAGCTGGGCACACGCCAGTTTCAAACAAATGCTTGCTTATACCTCTTAGCTTCCTGGCACTGGGTTAAGAGTAGTTTTCTTCAAATTGGTGCCCAGTTAGGCCCACAGTCAACAGGCTGACTGGCATGTTGTTCCAGTTATTAAATGTAAAGAGAAATCATGGCCACCACAGACGAATTAGCTCAACTCAGCAAGAAATGTGACATAATTCACATCTAAAGTTATCCAACTGGATTCTAATAAAACATGTATTTGATGCAGCGGGTCAAAAAGTCAAGGTTTTTGCAACAAAGATCCTAATTATGTTTAATGGAGCAAAGGAATGTCAGCTCTAGTTTGAAAGACCTTGACAGTCAGGTGTGAGGAGAGTGTTTTGTGCCTTCTTAATGGAGACCACATGAACCTGTCTGTCCTGTAGAGCCAGTCGCACTGTAGAGCCTCATTACCATAATCGCGTCATAATCATCAGTAAAGTGATCCCAAATAAACTCAAAATATCTGTCGGCAGAGAGTCATGGGAAGGCCATGAATGGTTAGAGGGTAATGAAGGGGCTTTTCCTGACCTTCCTGTTGATCTAGAATCTGTCATATAAGCAGACTTTCGGTAAGTGAGGAGCAATATAGATACCTATGTGGAAAAATTCTGTCCACAAAGCAAGATTTCAGACCTCAGCTTTGGATTGTGCAAATGTGAAAGGGGAATTCCTTTGATTTCAACCTGGGTCCTATATTTATTTTCATGAGTTTAAATGACGGGTGGATTCAAACTGTTATGGCATTGCTCCAGGAGAATGTAGACTGCAGCCACAACTGAGCTGTAATGGTTACAATGCAACCCTTTGGTGCAACTACAGCTAAGCATCATTGGTTTATTAAATGTGCTTGTTTTTGCCGCTGACATGCTCACAGTTTTTAGGACAGTGTCTAACAAAGTAATGGAAATAATTCCATTGGTAAGCTTTGAATTCTCAGAAGGAGGATTTTTACTGCATGAGTCAAAAAGTTGGAGAGCAGAATTTGGAGATTATTTAGAGATCCTGGTAGCAAGAATATTGCAAAAGTCATGGCAGCATATTTTGATAATTCTCAAAAATATAGATGAAGCATCAGAAGATCCCTACTTATCTATTACAAAAACAAACATTTTTAGTGGTCCTTGTCAAGGCAAGGACCACTGCTGCCACTGCAGCCATGCACGGGCTGTCAGCAAAAAGTGATACACTGAAGCCATTCCAAAAAGGTTAGAACCTACTAGTCATTTACACGCATAAACTTTAAAATAAGGACTCAGGATGAAAGATACAGGAATTCCTTGTCCCTGTTAAGGTCTATAAATCAACAAGTTAGAGTATGGGAGTGTAGAAATGCATGAAATGGGTGAAGGTTGTCAGGATTTTGAGTGAGAGTGTGAGCTGACAGGCAAGGAAGAGAAGGTGGGTGTCTATGTGTGTGTCAGGGATAGTGTGAAGGCTCTTCCACACTCACTGCATCAACAGAACGACTTAGGCTTGCACATTGTATCTGTCAGCACCAAAAAGCCCTCTGACATTCTGGGAACAGTGTGTTGGCCTGCAGTTGCTCCCTGGACTCAAGCTCTCATCCGCACTTGTCTAGCTCCCAACACAGAGAGTTAACAACTGACCTGACGGACGGAACAGAGAAACAGCTGCTGCTCGACAAGGTACTGGTATGGAACACTTTATAGGGGGGTCACGCTCCCACTGATGGCCTTAACAGACATGTCTTCATGCAGGAAATATACCAGCCTCAAGTGCTGTTTCCCAGACCTTCACAGAAAAGAAAAACATTTAACTACGGTTTTACATCAGCATAACTTGAGTAAAAAGCAGAAGTTTTGACAACAAAATGTACACAGACCCAACAAAAAGCATTAATAATACAGTACAAATTAGCATGGTGGTATTAGTATTAACTTGTTATCTCAATATAACACCATTTTATCCTGTGATTATGTGTTCATTTCAGTTGTATTCTCCTAATCCTGGCTTATTTATCTGATTATCTCCACATAACAAAGCCACTGCTGTTATCTTGAGCAAACAAAAACAAGATAAATAAGTTGTGATCTCAGGGAAAAAACAGAAACGTATCATTAATAGCAGGAAAATGGAGGAAATAATATGTATGGAGGCATGTTGGCTTAGAGAGATTAGCCTCTGGGAAATTATATAGTGCTAAAGCATTGCATTATATTAAGGTTTATGTCAGAAGTAACTCTGCTTTTACAGAGGCCTAATAGAAATGTAAGAAATTAAAAAAGTGTTGTATTTGCCTCTGTTGCCTCTCTATAAAGGCATATAAAATTTGATTAATCAACAAAAACCCCAAAAGTGCAAGCACCTAAGTGTGCTAATGCTACATTCCATCACTGATGGTTTCATTAATATGCATACAGAATTGCATAAACACATACTATATACATATTTATATTATACAGTACTGTTAGTGTCTCTTTCTCCCGAACACATACTAAACAAACAGCAAGCAGGATTCAGTTACACAGTGGAACATAAACACTCAAAACTCCCATGTTTTATATAGTTTGACCTTTAACCCCAGCATATTAGTGGGGTCAAAATTTTCACACCTAGAGACCACCCCTGCTCCCCATGAAAAGTATGACTCTTGTGTATACGTTTTTCTTGTGTGTTTTTTTTTTTATTTAGCTAAGGAAAACATTCAGAGATCTGTGTGCAGCTTGAGCCTCTGAAAACATTTCTGTTTCTCTTTCCCACTACAGGAGCAGCAGAGTTTTTCCCCCCACAGAGGATGAATGACTCCCTGGGAAGGTCTCCTTACACCAGTCAGTTGACCTGTTTGCAGTGACTGGGGAGGAGGTAGGGGGGCAGTGAAAGAGGGGTTTCCTAGGAGAACCTGGCAACGCTGACTGACTAATGTTGGGCCTCCCGACTGATCAATGCTGTTGTGGAAGCACACAGCTGACAGCAGACAATGAACAACACACTCTGCTAATAGGCCGTGTGTCCTCCACAACACCAGAGAAGAAGAGGGCTCTGGCTGTAATGGGGCCCGCTCCTCATGAACTGGGAGCTCAGCAGGAAACTGTGGGAGCTGAGGCCAAGAGTCCACCAGTCAGACTCAACCGCCAAGCACAGACTAATTTCTCTACAAAAGACTTGAATTAAAAAAAACGTTTTTTCAAGTGGATTTTCAACATAACTAAAACTTTAAAAATAATTGCAGCAGTTAACTGTAAAGCAGATTCATAAAACTGCACCTGTAGTGCAGCAAAACAAGGCAACAAGGTATAATCAGGAACAGGGTAAAATGTATGTCCTATAGGCCTGTTTTAAAAAAAAATGCAAGTGAGGATAAAAAAAAAAGGAACAAGTGGAAAAAAAAAGAGTCAATAACCCTGGACACACAAAAAAATATTTTTAATTAATTTGTTAACAGGTCAATCACAGTCGTATATCTATATATTAAAATCCAAAATACCCTACCAGTCCTCTTTAAAAAAAAAAAAAAAAAAGCCCAACAATTTTAATCCTAATATAGACTGACAACATAGCAGGAATGAGTTTTAGCAACTTCACTTCAGCTTTCTTCTGAGTCTCTGGGATGTTCATTGATTATCTTTTGTAAGGCGTGCACACGTCACTCAGATGCCCCCGCCCCGCCCACCCCATCCTACCGACCACGCCCCCTCCCGTGATATGAAAAACATCAGAGCAGAGGCAGGACTGAAGTGAACACGGTCTCCGCCGTCAGTGCAGCACTGGACTTTCCCTTTCAGGACTACTTTTGAACACTTGAAGCAAAATGAAGCGGGGTCACAATTACAGCTCATCTGACAGCGACCTGGACGACAATGTTGAGGTGGAGAAGGACAGTGGAGACGAAAATGGGTATGTACTTTATTTTGTGTGCATTTTTAGTTACTGTCTTACCATTGCTAATTAACTCTAATGGTAAAAAACAACAAAACATCTATTGCTTGTTTACCTTTCAGTCAACTTGATTCCCACGGCTCGATGTCACCGTCCACAACGACACAAGTTCAAGCCAGAAAAAGGCGCAGAGGGGTAAAAAAAAAAAAAAGAATGATCTCTGCTGTTTCTTATAACCTTTTCTGTTTTCTTGGCAAACATGGGCCTAAATTACTCTTTTTTTTATAACCAATTTACAGATTATTGAGAAACGGAGACGAGACAGAATCAATAACAGCCTTTCAGAGTTGAGAAGATTGGTGCCAAGTGCCTTTGAGAAACAGGTTAGTTACTTTCATCCTCTTCTTATCGAGAGCCCAAGATTTGCCTTTCATGTTTTTTTTTTTCTCCATATCGACCCCAGATGTGAAATATCTATGTGACAATATCCTTTCTTTTGCGATTCCTTTACAGGGTTCAGCTAAATTGGAAAAAGCAGAAATTTTGCAAATGACTGTGGACCATTTGAAGTTGCTTCATGCGTCTGGTGGCAAAGGTAAAACAGACTTGTAAAATAAGTCTACAAATTAATGTTTTCATTCTTAAAACAATAAGAAAATAAAGAAATGTATTCTGTGTCTTAGTTGCTGTCTTGTCCTCTTCTCCTCTCAGGTTTCTTTGAGGCTCACTCTCTTGCAAAGGATTACCGCAGCCTTGGCTTCAGGGAGTGTCTGGCAGAGACAGCTCGCTTCCTGAGCATCATAGAGAGTCGGGAGAACACAGACCCCCTCCGTGTACGACTAGTGTCCCACCTCAGTAACTACGCCTCTCAGAGGGAGGTGCACACTGGACTCGAACACTTGGCCTGGGGCTCTGCTTATGGGATCGCCCCTGCCCACCTCCCACACCCCCTCCTCCTTCAACGCCCACAGGCCAGGACACCTGCATCTAGAGGCAACAGTAGTCCACCCTCCTCCTCCTCTCTTTCCTCTACATCCTCCTCCACTGCCACTGAGGCATCTGGGACATCCAGACTCAGTGTCTTGCCCGCCACAGAGTCCCTCAGGGTGCCTCCAAACGGCTCCATGCCTCTAAGTCTGACCATGCCAACATCCAAGCTCTCACCACCGCTCCTTTCATCCCTCTCCTCGCTGTCGGCCTTCCCCCTTTCCTTCGGTGCCTTCCCTCTGGTCTCTGCGACGGCCCTCAGCACATCAAGCCCCTCCTCCACCGTGACGAAGCCTTACAGGCCATGGGGGACAGAAATTGGGGCCTTTTAAGCTGACAACTGGATTGAAGGGGACAGCTGAGCTGTGCCAGGCAGGACAACCTGCTTCACCTTTAGGCCTTTATGAAACACAGGGGAACAAAACAACTGATTTTATGTTATTATGTATAAAGGATAAGGATGTGGGTTCCTCTCAGCGTGCCATCACCCTTATAAAGAAAATTAGTTTTCATTGAATATTGTTATTCATTCAAATGTTTAGTTAATTTAGTTAACATCCACTGTCTCCAGGTTGAGAACTGATATATGAATGATGGGCCATGAATAGATTTATTGTAAACACAAATGTAGAGGTCATATTTCTAAGACCACTTATGGTCACTTATAAATGCCATTGTGGTAGAACTAACCTCCGGTGAATGTGAAGCTTTCTTTCTTGTATCAATTTGTAATATTTTGGTAACAATAAATTAAAGTAAAAAACTGGATTAAAAGAATTTGCTCATTTAACTCTAAAACATTTTATTTTAAGTGTGTGTATGCTGATTGTTTTTCATGACATTCCTAAATTACTTGTTGGAAAATGTCTGCGGTAATCCTTTTTAGGTTATTACCCGGGCCTTATTATGAGGTAATAAGGCCCGGGTTATTGACTGAAAGGCAATTCCTTTACTATGTGCCAGATAAGTAACCAAATCTGAGAGCATTGTTGCCTTATGAATACCCAGGAAATCATTAAGAGCCAGAGGAAATCCTTTACAATGTTGCCCTGACCTCACCAGCCCGGGTTAGTCTGAAACGGAGACAATAGTGTGAACAGGATAAGGACATTTGGGGAAAACAGTTAAAAAAGTAACAACAGACAGCTGGACCAATAAACTATTATCCATGGTGGTTTTTTCTGCTTTAGTCTATGTGACATAATATTAAGGGCTTCACTGTTTAAATTACTTTTTTTTTCCCCATCTTTTCAAGATTAGGCTTCAGGGGGAGATAATCACTCCCTGTGATTTGCTTCCTGAGGGCTCAATGCTTTTTTAATAATATATGATCTATATTGTCCTTTAAGTGCTGATGAATGACACAAACCTTGTTCCCTTTAAATAAGATGTGATTGAAAATTTTAAATCAACATTTTTCCAAATAAATGATTATCCTTAAATGATCCACATTGTTTACCTCTTTGTATTTATTGTTTTATTTTACAGATTAGTATTTGGTACAGGGTGAACTTATGCTCTTCTTTTAGATTGGTTTCTAAACGATAATACATAATCTGATACTGCCACCTAGTGGATAAACTTTGTCATACAGATAGTTTATACGGTATGTAAATACAAATGTATTTAACCATTTAAGAGAAAGCCTGTGCGTTTTGGATTAGCCAAATTTTTTATTAATATAATAATGTTTTAAATGAGGTGTTTGCACATCCAACTAGCCCATGAAGTCGGTGCATAGGACATAAAACTGTTACATTTGTGTTTTGATGTTTCACCTTCCTTGTGGATATTGTGATGAGTGACTCTGCAAATTTAACCTTAGATCTTCTGACATCGGCCTCCTGGCTGTCCCTCGCTCACGGCTCAAGCTCAAAGGTGATCGTGCCTTTCAGTCAAAGCCCCTTAACTGTGGAACAGCCTTCCCTCTTCAGTCAAGTCTGCCCCCCTCTGTTGACTCTTTTAAGTCCCGCCTTATCCGTATTTTTACATGTTAGCATTTCAGCCATCTGGTCCTGAATAGGCAGTTTTAGGCATGTTTTATTTATTGCTTTATTCTTATTTCTTTATTCTTTTAATTATTGTAAACTCCTGTATATTGTTTCTTTAATGCGTTGTACATCACTTTGGTCAGCTGCTGCTGTTTTTAAATGTGCTTTATAGATAAATGTGACTTCACCAGACATGTTACTGCTGATGATTAAGAGACACTTCTAATTCGAGTAAATGTCCCACACAGTAGGCAGAGCATTTTCTTCTTCAGATCATGGTGGTGAAATTGGATAATCAAAGGGTCAAGAGAAAATGAATGAAAAATAAACGAGGCGAGGACTATGATTCTCAGGATGTGTAGATAACTGGTTCTTTTATTTGCAGTTTACATTTTTCCCTCCACTTTTAGCACAGAAAAGTATTAGATGGTGCATGCCATATGTTCACAGAATCCCAAACCTTTATTCAGCAAAGCTTTCACAGAGAAATATATGAAGGGAGAAACACAAGCAGCAGAGGATGCAGGCAGATATCAGTGATACTGGATCTTAAAAAGAGGCTAGTGTGTGAATGTAAAGCATCCTGCATCCATTCTCCATCTCATCCCTTAGAGAGAGCAGAGGCTAGTTGAAGCCTGGTTGTAAATCCTCATTCACACACACCCAAGCAGACATAAGTCATGTTCGCACTACCAATATCAATTGTGGGAGCAACAGCAGGTACCAGTATGATGTCATAACATTCAAGAGATTAATCCCCAAATACTGTGTAGAGCTGGAGATCTGGCTAAAGATCCATCCATTGAGAAATTAAGTAGTCAGGGTAAAAGGGAATCTGCAGGTGTAGAAAGTTGCTCCCATTGGCCAAAGACATTCTTAATATAGTAACAATAAAGCACCTATCAAGTTCATAAGCTCATAAGAGGAAGTGGACACTTTATGAAACGGTGTGATTTTGGCGTATTGTTTAGTTCCAAGCGTGCGTGTCGAAAAAGAGTATGTGTGCATGAGTGAGGAAGATACAGATGGGATACATTGCTATCTTGAGAAGTCTGTAGTCTAGGTTTACACCAATCGGCAATCCTCACAAAGACACGGAAACATCATCATCATCATCATCATCATCATCATAACATCATCAGGAGCACTGCAAAAAATGTCAGTCTACAGCCAACTCACAACACCAAGTTTTCACACAAAAAATGGTTGTAGAGTCAAAATTTCAAGAACTGAAACATTTATCAATCACAAACAAAATGTTTGAAATCATACAGAGCAGTACAAGTACAGTATGTACTTCACCTACCATCATAGAGAGAGAGAGAGAGAGAGAGAGAGAGAGAGAGAGAGAGAGAGAGAGATAGATAGATAGATAGAGAGATAGATAGATTGAGATAGATAGATAGATAAATAGATAGATAGATAGATAGATAGAGAGAGAGAGAGAGATAGAGAGATAGATAGATTGAGAGAGAGATAGAGAGATAGATAGATAGATAGATAGATAGATAGATAGATAGATAGATAGATAGAGAGAGAGAGAGAGATAGAGAGATAGATAGAGAGATAGATAGATAGATAGATAGATAGATAGATAGATAGATAGATAGATAGATAGAGAGAGAGATAGAGAGATAGATAGATAGATAGATAGATAGATTTTAAGAAAACAGTATTTACAAAAGAAAAGCCATATAGTTTTCTCTAAAATGATCAAATCCATTCAACTCACAAGATAAGTGTAATTGATGCTTGTATCCACTGATAATACTGATAGTAGTGTGTACTGGTGGTGTGGTGTGTTGTGATGTGATGGTGAGGTCCTCGAACCTCTGGGCAACCAGGGTTGGGTGTCCATTCTGAGGAGGGTGAGGGCGGGGCAAGGTGAGGGGCGGGGCTTGTCGGAGGGACTTGATGGACCATGGAAGTCAGGGCTTGTGAGAGGCTCATGCTATCAGGTCTTCCCTCAGCTCTTTGTTCTTGCGCACCACAGCTGCATGTCTCTCCTATAACAATAAAAAAATAAAAAATAAATAAAACAGAGTGAGAATAACAACTCGGGTAGACTTCCTTTGCTTTTCTTTGCAGCAGCTGAGATGTCTGCGTTTCTTACCTTCTCCTGTAGACGCTCAATCATGGCTGCCAGAAGGGCGTCGCGGTTCTCCTTGATCTGCTCCATCTTCATCTGCAGTCTCTCTTCGGCCATCTTGCTGAAGTTACTGTTCTCCTCCATGGCCTTTAGCAACACGTCCCTCTCATGCTCTCGCTTCTCTGCCAAAACCCTCAGCACCTGGGCCTCCTGGTACTGAAAACACAAAATAATACACACAAAGGGAGTTTTTTTCAATTTTTGGCATCCTAAAAGTAATTTTTAACTACTGTATATTTCTTCTACCCAAAGCCATTTAAACAGATCAAATCCTCACCTTCCTTCGATCTTCGGCTGCCTCCAGTTTCTTCTCAATGTCCTCCAAGGAGATGTCCCTCTTGGGTGGTGAGGGGAGGTTGTGGGCCACATCTGATACCGGAGATGGAGGCTTGAGAATCACCTCAAAGGCCTGGCCAGAGGCCCGCTTGTTTATAGGCTTCACCTCCATGTCTGTAAATCAGAACATAATGAAGAGAACATTAATAAAATCAATGCTCAATAACACCACATAAAATAATATGTCATTATTGATTATGCTTGAATTTGCAAGGCAGTTAAACATCCATAGAGGAGGACAATTTCTTTGATCTGAAATATCAATGTTTGAGTTGATCCATACCTTCAAACTCACGCACAAGCTTTTTTTGTGACTCTGGATAGAAGCAGGAGCAGATGAGGGAGAGGACGGACAGCTCCTTCATCTTCTCTTTATACGCTGTTGGATGATACACACACACCATAGAATTATCACAAACATACTACCAAATTAAGATGTTTAGGAAAGAGAAAATTATCATTGAAATAATAAGAATACATTTTCTACTGTGTTAATGACCTGTTTAATGCCTGAAGTGTACATAAGTGCCCTTTGATTAATAATTCATAGGCTGAATGTATTCTGTAAGTGTAGTAAAATAATTTCCCCTTATGGCCAGTTATATAGTAAGACAATGGTGACTTATTTCAATAAATGATTGAATTGCCTTGTGTATAATAAAGCCCATTGAAATCTGAGAAAGATGAGTGAAATGGTAGAGACACGTGTGTCATGTTGATCAATTTCAACTTTACTCCTTACTGCTTGTCCTGTGTCATGATCCCCTACAATTTATATCTACCTTTCTTACCACTAACCTGCTGTTGAGAGTTGAAGTCATAGCCATCAAAAACAGATGATTAATGATCTCGACTTCACACTTGATCTGAAGTAGGATGTTTTTTTTTTACTTCTGCCTGTCCCTTGCGGACTATTTTTAATTTCGCCTGCAACATTCTGTCACTTTTTCAGTGCTTGCCTTTTCTGTGTTTGACAAAGTGCCCACCTTGCTGCTCATGGAGAGGACCACAGATTGTCAGTGCTGCAAAGGCCAGTTTGTGAAGCGGCCCCTTGCTGCAAGGCTGGCCTGCCTCCACCCTGTCGTGCACCTGTCTCCTCTGCTACGTCTCTGCTAACACCATGTCATAATAAAACCTGTCTGAACACCTCGGCGTATCATAAAAGGTGTCAAACAAATGGCCTATATTAAGAAACCATTAATGCTTTTGAAACAGAGGCTACATAAACCCTTAAAAAACGAATATGTTAAGGCTTGGCCTACACCTATAACTGTCCATCAGAAAAGATGACCAGCGCAGACTAGAATCACTGCTAAGTCCTAGATCTTATTGTCTGGTTTCCAAGTGTTATATTCCATCTTACATCAGTAGTGTATTATGGAATAAAAGGCAGCACATCTTTCACAGCTGATGATTCATCTTGAGAGAGAAATAAAGAAAGCTACAGACATGAATACCAGGACCAATCATAATTAAATAAACAGAACAAACAATAACCTTCAGGAGACGTTCAGGGCACTAAAACACGTTTTAAATTAAACAGGTACAGCTGTTGGGGGTTTAATTACAGCAAAAAAGTTAGACTGATGAAGCCCTTTCTGCATGTCTGTCGGCTAAAATGTGAGCAGCCCAGCATCTTGGGTGGGGTCCGTCTGCATTATGCTGCATGTTGGAGCCGTTGTAGCATGAAGCGCAGGTGCGGCGTTGTAAATAAAGCTGTCTGCTACCGATCCATACGGACACATTTTTCAATGTTGCACAATAAAAGATCGATACAAATTAGGACTGATACAATGACATAGATGAGGATGATGATAGAGGCTTTAAAGTAACCTAATGACCGAGGATGATTGGCTTGCGTTATCAGAGTCTCGTGCTGAGACAAAAGGCCCACAGTGTGGTAGAAATGTGAAGGTGAGTGGTCGCTTTCTCTTGAACATGATCATTTAAAAAACATTTATTTTTATTTTTTTTTATTTTTTTAGCGCAGGCTTTGCAGGATCACGACCACCAGCCGGTAGGCAAATATCAAGTCCGACATACAGAAAAGATGCATCCGTCATAATCAATCAATCCTTCCACCCACCTTTTCTAACCATCCATCCTTACACACATCCCTGCATCTGATAACATGACCATTCTGAAGGTGCTTACCGGTTGCTGTTTTAGCCATGGCTGATGTGTCTTTTCTCCGCAGAGGATGCTGTGGCTCTCTTCAGGTGATCGGTGATGCTGCTTAAGGCACTGAGTCAGCGAACAGACCGGGGTAGGATCGGATGGCAGACAGGAGGTGTGCACGAGCGGGAGCGCGCATGCAGACCCTCCCCTCTGTCCTGTGGTCCTCAGTCGCGTGGAGCGGTTTTTTTTTTTTTTATTAGCATTCAGGCTATGATCATGTAGCCAACCTGACAAGCACAGACAGTCAATTAAGTGTAAGACTATAGCGCAAGACCAATAAGCACATCGTTCTTTATCTTTATATTTTTTTTGTAGAGTAGGCCCATATAGATTTGAAAAGTAGCCTCTGGCAAATGCTATATTTGGCATTATTTTCATTTAGTCATTTGTAATCATTGAACAATGTAGGCCTATTCATATCTGATAATGCAATCTTAAAGTACCAAAGAAAATACAATTTCACGGTTTTAATCCAGCGTTAAATATTCATTCATCTGCAAAAATATATCAATAAAGAATAATCTGAGTATTTTTAACAACAAAATAACAATATTTTCTCTTCCTGTCAAACTTTGCAAATGTCTGATGAGTCATTCTGCACTCCCCTCGTTTACTAATTGTTGACCAATTAAAAGCTTCGTTGAAGCTAATGATCAAATCAAATTGTATGTCCCGCCTTCTACCTCCTGATTGGTAACTGACACCACAGTTAAATACTGTAATATTTAATTTCCATTTTGTGGGGAAATAATAAATAGTTCATCCTCATCCAACATACTATATCTTCAACTGTCAGCAATGACGCTTAACAGGCAGGATTTAATTTTTTACATTTAAATGCATAACTTCACGTCAGTGCTATCTTACAGAGTGGAAGTGTGGAAAAGGGATGTTGGGGTAAGATCTGTTGATTTGTCACGCCCTGGCTGTCCCATCATTTCTTTAAAGCCCTGATAGATTGAAGAGAAAGTCATTGGAGAATCATTGAGTAGGCTATGAATTCTTGTGAATCATAACCAAAAATTGCTAAACTAAACCCACATTTTTTGCTAAGGGGCAAGTATGCCAAAGCGGTGGGGTTAATTGAACCAGTTTTTCAATTTACACCATCATAAGGCACTTGTTAAGTATTTGAAGCCCAAAATTGTATCTTTAGCAGGTCTTTAAAACAACTAGCGGTAATTACCATCACAATCTTAATTAAAAGGCTAATTTAACTCTAAAACATCAATACAACTGAGAAAAGATTTATTTGAATAAAAGAAACACTCTCTCTCTTCGGTACATCACTAACTGCCAAATTTCCTCTTCCCCAAAATAACTTTGTATCTCATTGGATATTTTGGCGAAACCAATCTAAATTCTCTAAATCTATACTGGTTTATTGTTTTAAAGTATAAATTATTCAAAGAGATTGGCGTACACTGGCTGATAAAGACTGAAGTTAAATGATCACAATGAACTTAATACTCAACATTTACCAGCTAACATTATGTTTCAAAGAGGTCATCTTGATCTTGTTATTTGAATCTATTTCAAACTAATGAGCAAGGAAATAAAAGAGTCAACCTGGCTGGATAGAGCTTTATTAGAGATAGGACATTCTTGATGTTTTTCTCATCATCAACGACAGTTTGTTGAAATTTTCGTCACTAAATAAAACTTTTAAAACATTACAAAAAACAGACTTAACATACTTTCTGCATAGAGGAATATTTCAGATGATACATATTTTTAAGGTTCAACAACAACACTCACTGTCATTGGGACCTAAGTTTTTCAATATTATAAAACAAGGAACATTCAATCGATACATCACAGTTTAAAGCCAAGACTTAGCAAAGGTCAAGAAGTGGTCAAGTGTTATGGTCAAGGTACTTAAAATGTTAAATAGATTAGAGCTACTTACAGAATATTATATGCTCAGATACAAAAGTGAAAGGTTGTACATGCTGGTGTACTAAACTTAAGATGTATGGAATGATAAATAGAGGTCAATTTATCGTGTGACGAACTATAAAGTGATCGTTTCACGTATATCAAAGGTGTGATGGAAAAATGTTGAAAGCTGAATTATTGCATTGCACCAAGTATTCAGTATTTCATAAGTTTCAATGTGAGATACATCACTGATCGTCTGGTGTATTCTTGTGTGTAAATGTTGCACTTATCTACGTGCGGCTTTGGCCTTCAGCTGCTTCTTAATGTAGCAGCTGACTAGTACTTGTGGGCGATGTTGGTAATCGTGAAGAACTTCGCTAGAGCTGCTCAGCTGATCCCCCTTCAGACGATCCAGTAGTGTCACACAAACCACAGCAGCTGTGCACAAGAAGAAATTAGCATCAGAAACTCAACTTGTGGGTTTTGCAAAAAATTTGCAAGCCATAACATAAAACAGAGAACGTTTTTCTCACCTCGTAGACCGCTCAGCTTGCACATAGCAGCAAAAACTGAAGACTCCATTTCAATATTGCAGACCCCTGCTTCATTGGCTCTGTTAAGGAAGTCCTGCTTATCCGTCTCAGTATAGGAGCAGAACGCACCATCCAAACGGGCTTGTCCTGGTGGATTGAACAAATGTGGAAACAATTACAGAAAGAATGCAAATACACATTACATTTCACATTACAACCAAACCCATGTACATGTTGCTGATCAATGTGTAAAAAAACATCAATGTATCAAGTAGCACACCTTCATAGAAATCCAGGGTACACATTGTGTTGCCTATCACTGTCTCAAACTGGTTCAGCTCTTTGCTGCACTGTAACAGCTCTTCAGCTAGGCTCTGGTCCAGATCTGTGTTACGCACCACCGTCTTCCCCAGGATCACCTGCTCAAACTTGGGTAGGAAGGTGGCATCAACAGACTGCTTGGTGACAACGACAGTGCCGGGCTCGAGCCCTGAAAAACAAAAATGGCAGCTGAGAGTTAAAAGAATCACTCCTACACAAAGAACAAAAGTCAAATTCATATATGACATAAACATTATTATTTACAGATCGTATCATGTTGATTTTCTAATAAAATGCATTGAAAGTCATTCTTAAAGGAGCAATGTGTAACTCTGACACATAGTGTTTAAAATTGGTACTGCAGTCTGTATTTTAAACATTGTAGAGAGCTGTCTCCCCCTGTCCCCTCCTCTCTAGGGTCGATGTGCATGTGGGCAATGAAGCTTCAGAGTTTAGCTAGCCCTGCATCGGTCCTGAAACCTTTTCTACATTCTAACCTCTCTCCATTTTTTAAAAGCATCTCCAATATTTATCCTAGTTTTACCACGTTTCTGGTCGTGGAGCTTTTAAAAAAATGACATTATATTTTAACCAGTTTGCTTGCCTACTTTCTTGTTACTTCCTGTAACACCTGTTGGTTTTGCTGTTTGCCTGGCAAACCAAGGGGTAATCCAAAATGGCTGGGTGGGTTAAACAAAATTCCCTTTTTAATGTTGAAAAAGAAGAAGTGCCATCAGTGATCAATAAAAACTATAAAGATAAGGATGACAGTGCTCAAAAACTCAACGACCTTGGGTTCCCTCTTGTGGAAAAAAAAAGGTAAACTAATAGTATTTTGTTCCAGAGCAGCCAATCACAGTTAGGCAATCACTTCTGAGTAAGTTTACTCTGAGTTTAGTCAAATGCATGCTGAATGGCACATCAGCAGCAAGGGAGCTTGGTCTGTAAGGTAATAAAAGGTTCAAAGTTTAATGATGTTACAGTTTGTTAAACATTGCTCACTTATTCTTCATTTACCTGATCTGGCTCATAAAGTGTTGGAATCCTCACTGTATGTCATGTTTGATACAATCTCATGGAAGGACTTTTACCCACACCTGACTTAAGCCAGGTGAAGAAATTCCTTTTAAATCTGTTCATTTAACTCATTAAAAGAATCCAAAGAGAATCTGCATCTAGGGAGTTTGAGCAGTATTTTTTGGTTTGATAATGAATTAGATGAATAATCAACAGATGAACATCACAGAGCACCAAGGTAAACAAAAACAAAATAACATATTTACAAATCATAAGCTCACCTATTCCGCCTGATGTCCCAATGCGAATAATGGTCACATCTGTGCAATGTGAGTGATGGAGGAGCTTTATAAGCTCATGCAACATTATGGCGATGGATGGGATTCCCATCCCATGCTGCAAAATAAAACACAGACATGTCACATACATCTGTTTTTTTGTTTTTGAAGTGCACAACTTACAAGGGCAGTACAGCAATTGTTGAAAAAGAAGCATTTTGTTCATACATACACTGACAGAGAGCACAGGGCCAACTTTGTACATAGCGTATCGGTCCGTTCCAGCACATATATTGGGGTACTCTGATTTGGGGTCCTCCATTCTGAGCTCAGCAGCAATGTACTTAATGAATGACATCATTCTCCAAGGACTGCCCCCAACACACACAAACTGAAAGAATGAAAAACATGTCAAATTGACACATAAAGTTAATGAGTAACATGATAATGATTAGGAGATTATGTTTTATTAATGAACGACAATGTTGTCAAAAAGACATTACTTTGACATCACCAAACATAGCGGGTAGATTGTGTGTTCCAGTTCCTAAACTGAAGTGGTACAAGATGTCATCTTTCAGTGAATCCAGGTGGGGGTTGTGCACACAAACGGGGCTTAAAAGGGGTACAAAAAGAATCAGAAGTGTCAGTCTTATCCTGATATCCATACTGTATAGCCATGTCTTGACATTTCTCATTTACTCTGTTTTATCTAGCTTTAATCGTTGAGTAATAAGATTTGGGGCTTTTGACTTGAGTGTATTTGCATCAACATCCAAGAAGGGTGGGGTATTCATTTGTGATGCACCCAGTGATTAAAAATTAGTTTTGAAAAGCCATTGATTGACTGACCACGATATATTAAATGTTTTCATCTGTACTACTTTCATGCTGAAAAGTGTTGCAAACATAACTCATTAATAAGGAAGTCTGTGTATCCTTCCTGATTATGGTTGAATTTCCTACTTAGTCATTATCTCAGGGCAGCCACACAAATAGATACGAGGCACAATAATCCAAAAGGCTCCCACATACATGCCTACTATACATAGCCTATTCAGTTTTCAGTCTATCAGGTTGAAACTATTTCAATTAAAAACAACAACAACAATATAGTCATCCATGTAATCAACCCTCCATTAAAGTCATTTCAATCTGTTTGATTAAAGACTGTTTTCCTGGATGTTGGTAGTCAGTCTAAACTATTTGTCCACTGTATTCTGAGTAGTTACAATAGATATATTTGCTCATGAGAATGTTTAATTAAAAGTGTGTTAACTTTTGTACTTAAAGTGAACAGACCTAGTATCAGTATCTCCACTAATGACTATTTCTTCTAATGTGCATTGATAACAATAAGGACGTCTTACATGTAAAATGTAGCCTAGTTTAGTTTAGCAAAGGCTACAATAACCTCTGCAGGATCAACATTTGTGTGTGCTTATCACATCCTGAATGTGTTATCATTAAGGGGAAAAAAAAGACTTCCTCTGTCAGGAAAAAGCCAGTGCCATGACATCCCCCACACACCCAGTAGTTTCCTGATTTAAATGTTTGTTGGGGGGGTTATAGAAAATATTTTAGGCCTACTTCATGACACAAAATAGTTAGGACACAGCTGATACTGGACTAGACCTTCTCACCTTTCGCAAGATGCGGTACTCGTGTTGTCCTTCGGATCCATCTTCCTGAAAACAGCTGTGTCCGTCAAAAAAAAAAACGACCCAATGTCCGAGACCAACCCCAAAATCCGACGAAACCTGAACGTTACATTTGAGAAAGCACACCTTAAATGAAGAGTTGAAGTGAATTAGCCTTACCTTTGACGTAATTCCCCATCACGTTGCACATTAAAGTCACAGCATTTAAAGTTATTAGCATTAAAATGACTCAGAACTTTTTATCACACACCGCCACTTTGTCGCTCACAGCGCAATGAAACGACAGGTCAATGACTTCCTTCAATTTAAGACAAGATTAAAACCAAAGCAAAAACGCTACATGACAAACGCACGTACCTTGAAAATGCTGCTGTTCTCTCCTGGTACTAACAAATCAATTTTACTTTCTGACCATCTCACGTCGACACCGTAACGTGGGGCACGGGCTTCAGTCCACAATGACGCGACGTCAACTTGCGTCACACGCGTAACATCCTACTCCTGGGTTGAAGGCTGCTGTAGTGTAGCCTGCTGTGCCTCCAGTCACGTACTTGACGTGAGTCAATCTCTCGAGGATATTGCAGGATGTTGTAAAATGTCCGATAAGATTTGAGTTCTTGTTGCTCAACTGAAAAGTTCGATTTTATTTTTGATGAAAGTAGCCTACGTTACATGACCTTTCTCAAACGCACCTGACCAACCCAGATTTGTGTTCCTGGAGTTTTATCATAGAGACTATACTCCTGTTAAGTGCAAATTGCTAAAGAACATTCTTCTGAAGGTTGGGTGTTTAATATCCTTTTAAATATTGGGCTTGATATATTCAAGGATTGGCTTTACTATGGGCCTTTAAATACAAAACATTGTGTTAAAGTATTACCAGGTATTTGATATAGGCTAATTCTCAATTTAATGAGGGGGAAATGCATTGCAATTACATGGGTTTAATTTATCTATCTTATAGAAGTAGACACTGAGGTTTGTAACCTTCAAAAGTATACTGTTCACTCAAATGTGTTTTTTAGCTGTAGACTCAATGAATATACTGTGATGAAATTAAACATGTTATTTTTCACAATTTATAAAAAAATAAATTAAAAAAAAGTACATTTCATTGGTTGAAAATAGGTTAAGATGCCATCTGTTTAAAATCATCCATGATCTTGCCAGTGGAGACTGGAAAAGAGGATAACCATTAGCTCAAAGAAGCATTAATATGGTGTATGACATTCAGTAATTCCATACATTGTTAATATAATTATCTTCATTGTTGCAGCTTAAAACGTAATGTACATGTCAGAAAGAAAAAGGCAGCACACAATATTGATGTGACAAACTGTCTTTTATAAGGGATGTAAACATGTTTATTAAGACATGCTGAATCACAATGTGTACAGTATGTTACTCCTGCTTATACTTCTGATGCCAAACATCATTCTGACCCCATTCACATCAAGTTGGATTTGACTCAAATATGTTGAGAGATAAGGAGTCCACATCAAATGCTGTTTTCCCCTTTGCTCTCTGAAGCAAAACATTAGCACCAAAAGTCACCATCAATATCTTATTTTCAAAGCTTTTTTTTTTAAACAAAATATAAATACTTTACTTAAGCCAAACTTGTACACAGCAAACAATGCAAGCAGTATTCACACTCAAGCTAATAAAGTAGTGTTTGATATTATTAATTTGTGCAACTTCAGTTCAAACTGTTATCAAAATAATAAACATGCAAATAAAAATGTAACAAGTTAAATTAAATTCACCAAGAAAAACAAGAAGAAACGATTCAAACTCTCTTTGGCATAGTGAACATCTGTGCAAATTTCTCAAGGTGAGTGAAGCCTCTCCTCCATCCTAAAAACAGAGAAACAAATAGTGGCTCATTTCCCCCCCCATCCTTCTCATGTTCGTATCTGAATGTAATATGATACCACAGTTGATTCTACATAGTTAAATGCATTCACATCCATAGTAAAGCATACAGTCAGGATATATACTGAAAGTTTACACACAGAGGAACTGTAGTTTGAAATCAATGTTTAACACCAATATGTGTTTAAATCAATCCACCTTTCATTCATATCTAAATCTAGAAAGTATTTTTTGCTAACTTACATTTCTTCTTTTCCCCCATTCCTCCTCATGTCATGAAACCTTAGGTGCCCCAGATCCCTCTGTTGACACAGAATAAAAACACAACTCAATCCAAACAGTATGGGTACTATAATATTCTATTATTCTGAACAACCAACTTACTGCCTCAGGCAAGACGATGGGATGCTCAGGAAGGTATTCTGGCTTTCTCCTGGCCTCAGGACAACTCGCCAGACCGATTAAAAAATCCCTGGAGTAAGATATTCTCCCTAAATACATTTAAGTGTTAAAATCAACAAAAGGAATTTAAATCACGCAAACCAAAAAAAAAAAAAAATGGGAAAAGGATGTTGTTTCTCTGACAATGCAGGACTCTTCTGCTCAACCAGTAGAGTAAAAACATTCAAATAAATTCACCAGTCTATAATAAGTGACTTTACAATAGAGGCTGGATGATGAGCAGATATTCCTACATTTAAATGGTGATCAATAAACACCCGGTGTCTTACCTTCTTTTTGTTTGTGCAGGTTGACAATCTTGAAGAACTGCTCTATATCAACATTTGTCTAAAAAGCACAACATCAGTCGATCACTGTGTGAACCAACAATTCGAAAGGCAAATGTTTGAAGGTTTTTGTAATAAAGCCAAACCTGCAACAATTTTGATGTACAGCGTAAATGATTCACTATAAAAAAAAATAATTTCTCACAATAATAATTCAAGCAGTAATGGTAAAATATAAATTAAAATGCTAAAGATGATAAGACACATCCTTCTCTCGCATGTCTTACCTCTCGATTTATTTCTCTGATCAATGCCTGTGCACATGTAGCAGCATTCTTATTGGGCTCTAAAAGAAAAATCCCACATCAGAAGGTCATTATACGAGAACAATCATTTCAAATTAATACTGTATATGTTTTTAAATCAAATAATATATTGATTTTAACAGTCTACAGTTATCCACACTTAATGGCAGCAGTATTGTAACGGTCACAGTATATAAATATCTTTGTAGGCTGGAAGAATCATTTACATTTAAGCCACATGTGGAAAATCTCACTGTGTACTTCAGCAGAAACTTGACTTTCTGTTCAGCGGCAGAGCTAACTTCCCTCTTCATTGTAGGGAAAGTATTGTGAAAGCGGTCTCTATGTCAGTCCTCGATTATGGAGATATTATGTCTCTGCTACCACTCTTACAAGGCCTGGACTCAGTTTATTACTCTTGCTCTTGCTCTTGGATTCAAAACTGTAGACCCCTATAACACTATTTTAATATGTACAACCAAGTGGTTGATCTTCTCTGGCACAGAGGCATGATAAACATGCATCTCTTTATCTATGACTCCCTTATTGGACATTCCCCCGTCTCATATTGTATAACATATCTGCTGAACTGAGCCACCAGACCCTAACAAACTCTCTCTACTCACTGTGGGCACTCTTGTTTCTCTTGGACAAATTAAGAAAATATCTCAAACCACTTTACCACAGTTTGTGCTCTTTTTGTATCTCGACACCGTTGTATATTAGGGAAACCTCAATGAATTCCATGGCACTAAATAAAACGTTTTAAATGAATGAATTAAATACTTTGATCCATTCCTGCAAGTTTGACTAACTGCACAAGAGGGCTTACCTATGTCAACATGGATGCGACGCAGAGGCCTGGCAGGCTCCAGATGTTTCTGCAGGACTCTTCTCCTTGATACCTCCATCCTGGTGTCATTGAGAGTCAGACATGTTTTAAAAAATGACCACACAAGGATTGTTTTTCTAACATCATCTGTGCTCTTGAAGGGAGACGTCATTCATATTTCAATAGGACTTTATTTTTGTTTAACTTCTTTCCAGAAAATACAGCCTACTATTAATGGTCCCTGTCCGGAAATAAGCAAGATGAAGAAGTAGGATTCTATTAGGATTCAAGGCTTCACTCTTAGATATACATGAATACATATCTACCTATATGTAAAAACAAATATTGGCTTGATCAAAAGTACCATACGTAATTTTGAAGTGACGTTAAGTTATTCTGCTTTGATTAACTGTGAAACTACACGGTGTGAAGAGTTGAGAGGGGTTCGCATTAAAGCTGAGCTAATCAGAAATTCAACAAAGTGTTTGAGATTGGCGAGCTGAGAAACGACAGGTTGACTGTTCAGCTAACTACCCATGAATTTACCTCCTGTGTACACTTGACAAATGAATGAGAGCTCTTCAGACACGGTTCCAACCATCTTTTTTTTGTGTGTACAGAAGCAACTTTGGAAGACCGCAGGGAAAAATTGTGTTGCTCTTTGCAAAAAAAATGTTTAATGGCAGACATTTGCAGTGCATCATGATAACGACCAGCTGCTACCATTTAAACCTTAGCGGTTCTGTTAAATATAGCATCACTGCGTCGTTTACAGACACCACTGTGTCTCCACATCTTCATATCAATACAATTAGACAGAAACTGGTAAAAAACAAACAAAACAACAAAAAAAACACTTATAAACTTGCTGTCATGTGAAACAGCACAGCGATGCACAAGTACAACGATTTCTGCGTTGAATCAAGCAAATTCAAATAAGATATGTAACTTTCACAAACAAGACACTACTCAGAAAATTTAGGATTTCCTGACTTGGACTTTGTATTTTACTAAATAAGTTAAATATACAGTTAATTATTCACCTGTGGCTCTACTAAAGTCCCTCGGCGTGGCCTTCTGCCTCTCACTACACCGGCGTCATGAGAGAAGCACATCAGTAACTTCCGGGAAACGACCTCCAACATAAAATGTGTATCAGGCAGTTTTCAGGATAAACTGAAACTGACAATGCATTTTCAATTGAACACAGCCTGTCAGATCATGGAGGGAAACTCCCTCAAATCATGACCATTTATGGTTTAAATATATTTATTAATTAATTAATATATATAATTTATGGTTTTATACTGCAGATTCTTCATATTTTGCCAATATTTGATACCATTCGTCCAACTCTTGAAATGTGTCAATTGTAGAATTTTGCTTGGAAATGGTATGCGGAATCGTGTTAATAGTAAATTGTCTAAACATTATCATGACTAACGTGTTAATCATATATTACCTTCCTGTATATACAGCTTTCAGTGGGGGGGCTGTGGATCAAAGCTGTTAAGTTGATAAGGTTACCTGTTCATCTTGTATCCGCAATTGTTCAATCAGCTAAAATCTTAAGATCTGACATTTAAGTGATTCATTTTGAGATGATGTACAGATTTTTAATTTACTACAATTATTTTTAAACAAATATTTTTTCACCATGAAACTTTCAAGACCTTATGCGTCACTGGTGTATTTTCATATACAGGAAGAGGGGAGCTCAATATTTAAAATGCACATTATGTAGACAATTAAAGTGGTCACTCTTTTTGTTGATTTAAGTTGTAAAGCTTCCTCTGGGACTACTGGATGTTTATTAGAAAGAAGTACCTACTGTTAACACTTGACTTAATATGAATTCACCGGCATGACTATGAATACAAAAACACACACGGGTCTCCCAATTGTTCTCTTTTAATCATCTGCATTCTAGAAAGACACATCATGAAAATGTCAGCGAGCAGAGTTATTTGCACAAACAAAGATTTGAGAAGTACTTACAATTCAAATTGTGTATTTTTGTATGTAAAAACAAAATCTAAATAACCACAGATGGTACAAAGAAATTAATGTACATGTACACGATTGGAAGTTAAACAATAATACTTATGTGAGAAAACTAAAACACTTCTATGTCAAAGTAAAATAAGAACCGCATACCAACCTCAGAGAAAAAGGTAAAAAAAATATATAGAGAGCCTAATTTTCAGTTTTCATAATCAAAAAGCCATGCCAGCTTAATCAGAGAAAGGGAGAAAGGGCAATTATTTTCCTTAAATCAACTTGGCCTTTATCAACAGCATAAATGTCAGACTCGCAGTGGTAGGGCATGTAAGTTGACATGAAAAACAATTTCACTTTTACACAAGTAACAGCTGTATTCTTCTTGGACCAATGGATCTTCCACTCAGTTCCTCAACTGCTTTCTGGGCCTCCTGCCGGGTCTCAAACACTGCAGTCGCAGAGCCTTTGGATCTTCCACTTTGGTCATACTGCAGTGTGACAGATCCAGGGATAATCTCATATCCATAGCAAAAGTCATAGATCTCTTCCCTTCTGATTTGGAACGGCAAGTTAAGTAGCTGTACACAGGTAGGACCATCAACTCTCAAACTCTGCATGCCCCGAATGCCACTACCCCTGCCTCGTGAATCATGTGAACCCACTGCAAAGGGCTCATCATTGATTTGAGCCTGTGCATAGCCCATTTGAAGATCGCCATCGTAAGGAATCCTGGAGTTGGAGTACTCAGTGTCACCAGGACAATAGGATGCCATGCTGCTCCTGCGTGAGTACTGCTCCTCTCCTGGCAGTGGGTTTTGCATCGCTTTCTCTTGCATCACTGATGGCTCGAAACCCAACTGCTGCATATGAGACCGTGAAACGCATTTCAGTAACACTTCCGACCCCCGAAAACTTTGTCCATTTCTGGGTTGAGATGGGGGCCTCTCCTGAAACCTTTCAGAGTTACTAGAAGGTCTGTCACCCATGCCCTGAGATTCCAGAAGGTTTATCATTTTCTCTCTTGAAATTGGGCGGGTATAAACCCAACGGTTTTCAAACAGTCTTTTTTCATTACTTAAAGCATCACAATAGTCTCGCAGACTCCTGAACAGCACAAATGTGGATCTGGTTCTTCTCCCATCACTGTCAAGAAGGTGCAGGATCTGGCCATCCTCAAGGTTTGCATTGCAAAAGAGCTTTTTAATGTCTTCTTTTTCCACTGTGTAGGACAGATTATCCACCAAAACGCAGTACTCATCATCAGAAGAAACACTTGGTCTCTTGGTCACAGGTGATTGGGACCTTACATGATGCTGTGGGTTTCTCTGATGGCGAATCGGTGATCTTTCCCTTACAAAGTTATCCACATTGCAAGCCAATGACAAGGTACCACCAGCCCAGCACCAATCATCTGCTGTTGTTCGGGAAACCTCCACATACCTTGACTGTATATATTGCCTATCCCTCTTCAGGCCTTCATATGCATCCTGGCTTGTGGCAAATTTGACAATACCTTTCCCGCTCTTTAAACATTTACGATTTTTAAACAATATTATGTCATCGACAACTAGACCACTGAAGAAGTCACGGACTTCCTCTTCAGTCACAGAGAAAGGCATTCCTTTTAGAAACAAAAACAAGTCATCAATACTGCTTGAAGCCACCTGGTGCTGGGGGGGAGGGGTATGATCCGATCTGCTAACTGGTCTCCTGCTAACCTCAGGGTCCATAGATCTTCTGGCACGTCTTGCATTCTCCTCAAGTCTCCTCTTCTGATCTAGCTCTGCACTTTTTGTACTTCTCTCAAGCAGGTTCTGCATTTCTGTTTTACTACTTAGTAGCAATGAAACAGGCGAACCCTTTATGACACCCTGTGACCGTGTCATGGCTCTTCTTGCATCTTCATCTGAAGCAAAGATTATGAAAGCTTCATTCCGCTCCCCGCCAATAATATGCACCCCTCCATCAGGAATTCTGAGGCCAGTGAAGAACTTGCGAATATCCTCTGATCCTGCGGTGGTCCTCAGTCCCTGTAAACGGATGACGACTGCCATACTGGTGCACAAACAACAGCGCCTGCAGACAGAAGGGTGTAAAATAGTATTATTTCCAACACAGATTCTGTCGCTGAGACTCGATTTCCAGGTATTCCATTACAACACCACTGGACTGTACTTGCAATGAGGGATTAAGAACACCATTCCAACCAAAGACGCTTTCAAAAAAACTTTCCAAACAATTAAGTCTGAAATCATTATAACCATTTAATATTTGTTCCAAGCAGGACTTTGTACTTCGCCATACGACATCACCAGTTCATAGATATTTTTGACAGAAAAAAATAGAAGCATTGACCAGTACATTAAAAAGTTCAAACATTTACAGTCTGACACTGACTTAATGTTAAACTGACAAGCGAGACAAAATGCACCAGGCAACCAAATATATCCTGTAGTCCAATTTAACGTAACTATTGTCCAATTCAACAGAAGTAAAGAAAAAAGCCATATTATATTCAGTTACTACACAGAATATATTTTGAACAACACAACCACAAACCACTTTTTTAAACCATTTATTAATAAGTGCAACTAATGCACTTAAATTTGATAAGAAAGCATTACTTTCTTAAGCAGTTTACAAAGCAGAGTCATTCATACACTAACTGTTTATAAAACAACTTAGCAGAGCTATGTGTGGAAACCTCTGAAGGCTAATACAGTGACCCCCAGATTATAACAGTCCACAAAGGACTCACCAATAGCCACAATGAAAATGATGTCCTTCCCCAACATTGACTCTGCTCTTGTTGTTTGTTGGCAAAACAATCCTGAAAAACTCTAACCATTAAAAATGCCCAGTCTTTCAGCGAACACAGTCATCAAGAACAGTTTGGCCTTTTGCCTCCCTTTGATTAAATTTCTATTTGCCGCTAAATCCACGTCCATCATATTCGGCAGTTTGAATCGCGCCCAATGCTGAATTGTGACCACTCTTTAACTCACCTGCGTGCCATCATTGGGGGAAATGCATCCACTCCCCACCACTAAACATCTCATGTCAACCAAAACAAACCCAAACATTAAAATACAGGCAGAGGACGAACTATTCAAGGCCTTGATTTTAAAAAGAAAGAAACAGAAATCAAAGATATCTATATTATCAGGCCATACCATTGCAACACAAAGCCAGCAAATTCCTATGACCAAAACCAACTCAATATAACAACAATCAGCATCACAATAATGGTACAAAAAAAAAACAACACCAACAACGTCTAGTCATTAAAGGTAGTCGTTGCAGCTTTTAAACAATATATAATCTAGGCCCCTCCTCCTGGACTCATTGCCACCAGAAGTGCATGCCAACTGCAGGGCTTTAAGGTGTAGGTCTACTGCTTGTAGCTACACTGCAAGCAACCTGAGAATAGGCCTATTACACTTCTCGTAATGGAAAATCGGATAATTTAGCAAGCAAGCACAAGCTAACCACCAGTGTTCGACACCTGCCTGTCCATCAGAAAGCAGGCCAAATCCTTGTCCACGGTTGAAAGCTAAGGTCCTACGGTTCACCCTTGTTTTGTAACAAGCTTCATCCGCTTGGCCTTTTGCCTCCATATGATTATATTTTCTCTTTGCCGCTACGTCCACGTCCATCACAATCGCCAGTTTGAAACGTGTCCCATTGATGAATTGTAACCATTCCTTGACTCACCTGCGCACTGTCATTGGGGGAAATACATCCACTCCCCACCCATAAAACATCCCAGTCAACCCAAACATCAAAACACAGGCAGAGGACGGGGTCTCTGCAGACGCAGTCAGCACCACACATGTATTGAGGCCCAGAACTGCATGAGCAGCATTTCTTTAATTTAAGTTTATATTCTTTTTTTTAGGAAAAGGCTATTGACTATGCCTTCTAAGCAAACAGACATGCAACAACATCGAACTAATGCTTTATCAAAAAACCTTGATCATTCATTGTAACAGGCATGTAAGTTTAGGACCTTCACAACAAAACCCAAAACAAATGAATAAAAATCAGACAGCTGCAAACCCTTACCATCAACCTAGGGCCACATATTCACCTCAGTGAGTGCAGTAGTCTGAATCAATAGCTCTGAATATCATTTCATGCCCCATAACAACTACATCGTACACCTACTTGTTAGATATGCGATAATACCTTTGATAAAACGACGGCAGAAACAGTCGACCTTCATCCGACCCGACCTAAAATCTCACCAGGACTATTACAGCCACTGCGAATAGTAAAAGTCATCGGACGGTCCTGACAGAAGTGCATAAAACCAGCCAAGGTTTCCACCTAGTTTGTCTAATTTGCGGCATTCAATTACTTCCAGGTAAGCGACAAAAAAAAACACAAAGCACATACTGAAATTTTAACTTTACTGAAAAACTAACTTTGAAGATAAGACACGGCAAATATAGGCGATGATGACGCTTTCAAACAAAGGTACGCAACAGCTGTGTGGCCTCCACAAGGCCTCTGACATTAGCATTAGCTGCTTTCACGTCCAACGCTGACCGGCGACAATGAGCCTGTTTTCTTCATTAAAAGCACGAAATATGGCGACCTAGCATTCAACAAAACTTACACGGGTGATAAGTACACTTTCTCGAACAAAATAGAGAGTATCAGCAGAATTTAGGTCAAGCGTGAATTCATGTAGCTCTTCTCCCGAAATGATTCTGCTTCCGCTGACAACTTCTTCTTCGTCACTTCCAAAGGCGGGCTGGAAGCAATCGTGAAAGGTGTACGGCGCCACCTGCTGCTACGGAGTTTACTTAATAATGTAGCGTCTTTATTTTTGGGGGAAAAGTTAATGTATATTGTTGTACGCTTAAATATTTGAATATAACTGTTTTCCTCCTTCTTCCTTACAACCATTTACGACTCTGTTTTTGCACATTTACATTTAATCTTCCATATTTAATCTTCCTATTTAAGACTAGTAATGCTAAGTTAAATCCTGGTTGTATATATTCACATTCTTAGTTTTTATATTTTTAGTACTTATTTACTTTGTATTTAATATTATATTGTGTTTAGATTTGCTAACATTGTGTTTTTTACTCATTGTGTGTTGTATAACCTGCTGCTGTAACGCCACAATTTCCCAATTTGGGATCAATAAAGTCATTCTATTCTATTCTATTCTATTCTATTCTATTCTATTCTATTCTACTAGCGAATTGCAATTAACCCTTCATGCATTCTCAAATCCAGTCAGTTTTTTTCAAAAGCTGCTTTATACCTACAAATACAGTTTTAACCCTTTGCCATAAGTCTCAAATGTATTCGATGCAACTACTTTTCAAGATGTAGGGTTTGCACTTTTAACACATGTGTCCTTACTAACCCTAAAAAGTTTTAGTTCACCAAGTGCTGAGTTGGAAGAGATTTTTCCCCAAATGTTTTTTTCTGACATAAAGAACTACATTCTACTCTCAGACTGTTTGGATTCTGTAACAATATTTCACACTATTGATTTCAGGGAACGCTACAGCTGTCAGATGTCTTCCTTATATCATCACAACACACGGTCATAAAGAACTCAGTGGTAAGCTTCAGCCCATACTTTCCATAAGATCCAATAACGTTATACCATTTAGACCAGGGATGGGCAACTTTGGTCACAGCAAGGGCCACATTCATTTAATTCTCACTGCCAGAGGGGCCAAATTGTAGAATACAAAAAACGATTACAGTCAATTATGTCTCAAATTTAACTCAACATATACCAGTGATCAAATATTATTATAGACATATTTCTGGTTTTCACTATTTCATGGCAGATAGTTTGTCATGTTTTTCTTCATGTTTCCAATTAATTGATATGTTGACCTGAGGGCCACATTGAGGGTTGATGGGGGCCCGCATGTGGCCCCCCGGGCCACCAGTAGCCCACCCCTGATTTAGACTTTCTCCTTGAGTCCCTCAGGCTGTGGGACACACTTTTCGGGATGAGCTGCCTATACCGTGATGCAAGTAGATTTTTTTTAAAGACAGTCTAGATACTTTAATTTACAACTGATTTAAAAATACTTTTTTACCTACTGCAATTGCACTTTATAACGACTCCCCTTTAAGGACAGAAGACATTTAAACTTTTAAACTTTAGCCTGAGCTGCACTGTATATTGCACACTTGACTGCTTTTAAAAAAATAATAATAATAATAATTTATTTATCTATCATACTATGCACTGGCAGAACTACTATTTTGTACTGTTATCTGTTATGAGTAACAGCTACTTATGCACATGGACCATCCATACCACTTTTTTTTTTTTTAACCCTGGCTATGTATTGTGGGCTCATGTTTTTTTTTTTTTTTTGCATGGGTGGGATGCAAAAAAATATATGCATGCATATATGTGTTATGTGTGTTTGTATGTATCCTGGCTGCTGGAACACCTACATTTCCCTGCTGGGATGAATAAAGTACATCTTATCTGATTATTATTATTATTATTATTTAACATGTGAGTCACTAGTTACAGTCGTGGTGGTTACAGTGAGCTCCAGTGTTCGCGCCAGCTATGAACCCCCGGTATCATGTGACGCTGTTGAACACAGTGTGAGAGTCACAGTGTGGGAAATAATAATAAAAAAAAAAAAAAAAAAGGTATTCTTCAGACATGTTCACACTCCTACAAGCAGAACGACTTTGCTGGTCCGACACTAATTCTGACACTTTTGTTGGGCTTAGTTTGGGCTTATGTGTGTTGAAACTGTGGTCTAACGTGAGCTCATGTTAGCTCCACAGCAGCGACATGCACCCGGACTGAAGCCACAGCGCAGCAGCAGAGGAGCCGACCATCATTTCCGACAGCTCCGTATGGATTTGACGTCGGGATATATTGGTGCTTGATGCTCTAAGGCTTAGCGGATCACAGGTGATTTCGAGGATGGGGGGACCCTGTGCCCTTAAGCACTTTGTAAAGTGAGTACCTCGTGATTTAATTTGTGTTTAACAACAAGTTTATGATGGTTTTAATCGCCTCCCTAACACACAAAACATGAGCTAGCATGCTAGTAAAGCCGGGTGCTTGAGACTCTTATTATACTCACTTTCTTCAACGTGACTTGTAACAAAAACGTGTTGCCGAGTCGATAAATGAATAAGCGAGCGAGCTTCCCGTCCTACTCGGTTGGAGAGAACCGTAGTTGTTTTGGACTTCACGCATTTCAGACAGATTAGTGAGCGATAAAGTAGCCCGTGAAGTGAACCGCAGCGTTAGCCTGTTCCAGTTAGCTTAAACTAGCCTGATGCTAGTAGCGCTCCACAGCTAGCCGTGTGTTATCAAACAAAATGTGTTGGTTGTACCGCTACTGTAAAGCCGTACACGTCGCTAAACGCAACACTTTATCATAATTGTATTCGCGCAACTGTTCTGACAACAAATGATGCACAGGAAAAACACGAGTTTGCCGCTTTCTTTTAAAAAAATGGCCCACGGAAGCTCTGTGTTAACGTTAGCTTAACCCAGTTAGCTTCACGCTAGCTGCTTGATATTCTTAATAAAGCTGCCTCGTAATCAAGCAGCTCAGTAAATGTCAACTCAGTCGCCTGCTGTAAACTTACACGTATGTTTTAAGGTTGACTTGTAAGCAAATGTTAATTATGAACTCAACTAAATTGGCAGGTCAGCAACACATCTTTGTATATTCGTTTTCATAGTTGGGAAGGTTAGAAACAACATTTTAAAGGCCATGTTTTGGCTGTACCACTCCTCCCGCTCACACCTCGCTTTATTTAGGTTTCTAATTTGATTCAAACCAGTCACCATCTGTTTACACAAGGGTATCGATGCATAGTTTACAGACATACTGGTTCCACAGACAGCCTTTGTTTTACAAGGCCATTTGCTTGCTCTGTACTTGTCTATTAATAAGATAAGTGTTCTCTGCTCGACCTGCTTTAACCTGTAATCCACCATGATAGTTTATTTAAAAAATAAAAAAAAACAGGTGAATGTAACCTTTCATTTCTGTGTTTGCTGTTTCTAAGCCAGAGCAGTAGAGAATAACAGACAAGTAAGCTGCAGAAAGATTAATTCTTTGTCTAACAGCAGATCTTGCTGTTTGCAGCTGGTTTCTAGATAACATATAGGAATCTGCAGGAATACGCCTGGACAGTAGAAGTGGTTTATACCAAAGCATTTTACACCCAAACAGACCACAACCAGACTGACATGCTGTTGATTATAATAAGTTGTTGGGAAACAATAGTTTGATATTTTCTGCCATTGTTAAGTTGTCAGGATTTAGTTTTCAGAATTGCTTGACGGAGTAACTGTAAACTGTTTTGGACATAAGAAACCCAGCTCACTGCAACTCTTCCTTCTTTTGTTGTCAGGTGTGACGTCACTTTGGAAGGCTCATTTCTCTGATTTGGATTATTCTTGGCCAGCAGCAACTTCGGGCCTGCTAATCCTAGACAAGTTTTTCAATGGACACTCTGCTGAAGTCCGAGATCAGGTACAGTACATTATACAACTCACAGTGTATGTTTTGTTTGGTGTAGTTGGATTGACACATTTTGAAATTATTTTAGTATGGTTACAAAGTGCAGTCTGTACTAACCCTTCTTACTGTCAGAATATTGTGATATTATGGTCAGACAAGGCACACTACTGTCTCGTAATTCATGCACTGAAAGTAATTAAACATACGAGACCACTTTATGCAAAACGTTCTGGGGTCTTTTTTCAAATATTGACAGATGATAGAGACTATCCTCAGATTCTTTCAGATAAAGGGGTCAGCCAAATGTTTTTAGAGCTTTGCTTTCTGTAGTACAAGAAAAAAATATGTAGTTTGATTATTTTAATGAAAATATAATTTGTAGGAAAGATTACATTGTGTCATACAGATTGTTTTGGTAATGTGATCTAATTGAAATATGTTTTGAAACGAGGTATTGGAATTGGGTGTCATATTCTCATATGCTTGCACTTTGTCCATGCTTATTATTTCAAAACATGAAACACTGCATTCGATTTTTGATTTCCCTACTTTAATTTTGGTAAAGATTTAAGCAATGCTAGCGGGGTGAGCGTCTTTATCTTGTAGGTTAACTCTAAAGTGTAAGCTGGTTATAATAGTCCCTACTTTACAGCAGAATTTCACTGCAGAAATGCTTCCTTTTGAAGGTCACAGAGAAAGGAAAAATGAAATCCTGAAGGATTATATGACCTAATTATTGTCCTGCACCCATATTGAGCCTACCCTAATGAACACACACGCTTTAATAGGACTAAAGGATGTATTCTTTACATGTTATATACTTACATCTCTGTTTGATTTTTTTGTGTGATTTTCTTCCTCTGCTTCTTATTTGTTATGAAATCAAGCTATATGATGTGAATTAACAATGTTATTAGCTTGTAGGCGAGCTCACAGATCATTAAAATACAACCTATTTTTCTTCATTTCTGCTTACCTAGACATACTGGTTCCACAGTATAATTTTGTTTTGTTGAAATTTTGGTTTCTTAAGGTAAGGTAACTTTATTGGTACCCGTCGGTAGATTTGGTTTGAAATGTGTGAGTCGGCCTCCTTTTAAACACAAACGACAGGACAGGACAAAACATGATAAAGTGACAACAGTGCTCAATACTAAAGAGAAAAGCCCTTCGTAAACAAACAAGATAAAGTAACCCATCGTAAGAATAAGACAAAGATAAAAATGATACTATACCATCAATTAAGTAAAGTAAAAGCAAGATTTGAATAAGAATAGTGGTGTTGATATAGCTGTAACGTGAAAAGGGCAGCCCACATGTTGAACAACGATGCACCAATTTTTGGTCTGGTGGTATGGGCTAAACTGTTGCTATATTCCTGACAGACAAAAATCAAATTCTGAATTAAGTAGAAAATGAATCAAGACTGTTGTCAAATGATTGTGATGTGACATATGACACAGGAGACAACAAGAAAGTGCTCCAAGCCAAACAAATGTCCTCAAATGTCTTAATGTGCGTGTTGTCTCCTAAAAGAACATATCTTAAGATGTTTGATCACATTTGTCCTCCTTCACTATTATTTTGCACTGTCCATAGAACAAAAAACACTTGACCGTAAGGCTTTGGGGGAGAACATAGTCACAATCATAAACCGTGTCTTAAGTGTTTAAAAAACATCCAGATATTTATATTCCTTTTTATTTGCAATATGGATTTTTTATTTTATTTTTATTACGGTAATCCGTCATTATAAAGCAAGAAATGCATTATGTAAATGCACACTTTCATTTTTTATATAGATCTGTAACATTGTTTTATTATTTCATCAATTCACTTTGGTCCTTAATCTCTTCAGCTAGCTATTCCATTAATTAAAAAAATCAGAATAAAGTATAGGCCATTATTATGCCAATGTACAAGGTCTCAGGGATAACATCCATCAGTTACCCTACAAATTTGTTTCTCTATCCAGCAGAATGTGCCCAAAAATATATTATATATGGAATTAACTTGTGTTCTCCCAAGTCAGCTTTTTCCAATTTTTCCTCTCTGTGAACATGAATTATAAACAGAAAAACATTAGAGTTTTCATTCAAAGTGCATTGTTTATATGGTTAATGGACTTGAGCTTATAAGTGCTTTTCTATTCTTTTGACTAGTCAAAGTGCTTTTTAACAGCAGATCATACCTACCCATTCACACACTGATGGCAGAGGCTGCGATTGAAAGTGTCCATCTTTTTTAACTCATCCCATTCATACACATTCACACGCCACCGACAAAGCAGTGGGAGCAACTTGGGGTTAAGTGTCTTTCCCAAAGACACATCAACATGTGTCTGCAGAGGCTGGGGATCGAACCCCCAACCTTCCAGTTGATAGATGACTGACTCTACCACTACACAACAGCTGCCCTAATAATATATATATATATATATATATATATATATATCAGTTTTAATTTGCTCCAACATTTCAGACAAATGCTATGTATGCTTGTTAATATTACGATCTATGTCTTGCTCTTAAAGACCTAGAAAAAGCGAATGTAGAGCAGTAGACACTGAGAATTACAGATATGTTATAGTTTAAAGCCTCAAAATCAGTTACAGTCAAAACAAGTTGTTAAGGGACTAATTCATATTATGCAAGGTCACCTTGAAATTTAAGTTTCTTATGTACCCCCTGATAATCTTGAAGTTGCATATTGCTGCATGAACTGTGTAACTTCATTTCCATCTTTCCTCTGCTTTTTTTTGCTCACATGATGTAACCACAGAGAGGAGGGGAGTGGGGCCTCAGTAAGTGTCAAACCAAAAGTTGATAAGTATGAATATTTGCTTTTGTGGGTTTGTTACAACTGCTGTCATGATGGGGAAAAACAGATTCCAGGTTAATTTTAGCCTTCTCTTTTATTGCAGGTGAAGGTGGAGGGCCTATCCAAGGCAGCTCTAATAAAAAGCCTGTCTCCCAGAGTCATGCTATCCAACCATCTTCTGCCTAAAGGGACCAAGATGAAGGTCAACCTGGAAGACCAGGGTCGTCAGAAAGTGTCCTTTAGCTTCGCACCGACCAAGAAGCCCCTGCAGAGCCTGTTCTTTATCCCCACCAGCCCTGACAAGTCTGTTGCTGAACCTCACCTTGCCTTGTCCCAGTTGACCTCAGACGAAGAAGGGCAGAGTACAGCTGAGCAGACACCCATGGTGCCAATTTCAACAGCAGAGACACCTTCTCAAACACCAGTCTCCTCAGCTACTAAAATGAAAACAGACTTATCTAAGATGCATTTCAAGAAGCAAATTCTTAGTGTCTCTGTGACTGAAGAGAAACCAACTTCTGCTGTGCCAGATGAGCCGCACTCATCCGACTTGATGGTTCTACAGAAATCAACAATTTTGAGTGCAACTGAATTCCCAACACCCCAGCCTCAGAATGCCATCAGTGTCTGCCCCTCAGAGAATGCTAAAATTGAAACCTCTGAGGCAAGAGTTACTCCAAGCCTCAAGAAGCCAGTTGCTTCCTCAGGAAAAGATGTGGAGAGTTCCAGCAGTGCTGAGCAGGACGGTAAGGTATACAATAGGACAACCAGGTCCCAATCTGATAGCGCGCCACCTGGCTCAGAGTCAGATGGAGATTCAGTCCAGATGTCTTCCAGTCGCAGATCAGTTGACTCCAAAAGTAAAACAAACTCTGAGAGCAGAAGCAAGGAGGTAAAAAAGTCTTCCTCTGGTTCATATGTGGAGGAAAAAGAAAAAAGTTCCTCAAAGCGTTCAGAGAATCATGAAAGGTCTTCTAGTTACTCGAAATCAGACCGAGATTCTAGACACACATCATCGCGTTCATCCAGATCCGACAAAGATCGCAGAAGGTCCAGGTCCAGGTCACGATCCCGATCTAGAGGGTCTCGAACAAGTTCATCTCACTCCAGATCAGAGAGATCTCGAGGCGACAGAGGATCCCGCTCCGATAGGTCATACTATCATGATTCTGATAGGAGATCATATAGGAGTTCTCCGCGCAGAGAGAGAAGACGTTCTCGTTCTCGAGACAAAACTCGGGACAGTTCCGACTCTGAGGATGACCACAGGAAGACAAGAACAAGGACAAGTGAATCGAGTAGATCATCAGTGCATGCAAGCTCATATAAAGAGTCAAAATCATCTTCCTACACAAAATCTGAAAAGGCCTCTAAATCTTCAGATTCTCCTCATTTTTCAGAGTTGGATAAAAAATCACATTCATCAAAGTCTGAAAGAACTTCAAAGCGACTGTCAGACTCTGATTCCCAACGCAAGTGCTCTCCTGACTTGGACTCCAGTTACCGTAAATCAAGCTTGCATAACAAGTCAGAGACCAACAGTAAATCTTCATCTTCCAGTACACATAGCCATTCTCAATCATATGAGAAACGCCAAAAAAGCAGCTCAAGTGACTCTGAAGCTGATCATAGAGGAAAACCACAAGCCTCTGACAAAAGCTCTGGCTCTGAGGAAAAATCTACAAACTGTCAAAAGAACAACAGCAGGTCAGAATTAAAGCAAATTACTCCTTCTAGATCATCCATGAAATCCAGTGGAAATGATAGGCAATCAAGTGACACATTTCAAAGCCCTGACAAAGCACTGTCAAAGGAAAACCCCCCAGAACTTTGTTTTCTGATTAAAAAAGAAAAAGTAGATTCCCAACCAGGTGGAAATGAACATAGTAATCAAGATTCTATTGATATCATCTCATGCACTGACAAGAGTTTGTCATCTGAGAGAAACGAAACAAAAGCAGGTCATGAAGTTGAGACAGATAATGCCTCTGCTATATCCCCAAGTGAAAGCCTGAAGCATGTAAATGCTAGCCTGGAGAACTTGACTAATGTGAAGGAAAGCCTTTCTTCTAATAACCTATCACATGTGAAATCATTTGCAGCTGTACTAAATTCAAGTAGTAGTAATGAAAGTGTAATATGTAGCCAGGGCAAGAAAGATGTTGACTGTTCACCACAGTCCTTACTTGAAACACAAGATGTCCAGCAAAACACAGAATCGGAAATTGATGAGCTCAAAACAGCTATGGTCATCAACCAGCAATGTGGCACAATTGCACCACTCTGTTCTGATACATCATGCCCTGATTCTGAGAATCAGCTGACACTCGCACAGCAAAATACAGATACTGTTAAAAAGAGTATCAGTAGTAACAAAAAGTCCAGATGGGATATTGTTGGGCAGGACACTTTAGAGAATGATAACTTACAAAGGACACTTTGTGCAGAGAGTAAACCTAAAAAATTGGTCTCTGTCAAAAAGATAGAGGTTTTGAAAGACAATAGCCAACAAGACTCTGAAGTTAAAGATATTAATCAGCAAGAAGCTGAAACACATTCCAAACCAGGGAGGCAGATGGGGATCTCTAAGCAAGACTTATTTTCTGACAGAACATCTGTGACTGAAAAATACAAAGACCAAAGTGAGCCTTCACAAGCGAGCACCAGCGCTGACCAGTGTGACTTAAAACAGAGGGACTCTCAACAAACAAACACAGACAAGCCTCTGCACATCAATGATCCATCACAGACCCTCATAGCTTCAAAGATGCAAAGCTGGAATGGCGATGGTCATGAAGAAACTTCTAAGATCAGTGCTCACAAGAGCAAATTAAGTAAGAGAGCACCACTTAATCAGGATACATTAGGACAGAGTGAGGCCAGTGATAGTGACAACTCAGAGTATGACTCAGATTGCGGCGAGGCTGTAAAACGATTGCACTCTGTGGTGGTGGTGCCGAAGAATTCTTCACTTACAATGGATGCACAGGACACAGGAGCTTCACCATGCACTCCAAGGAATAGTTCAGAACTTCAGAATGCTAATATTACAGCTGACCTGGACATCAGTGAAGTCCCAAAACAAAGGCAGGAGGGTCCATGTGCTGGTGTGAACAATTCTTGCAATAACACTATGTTGTGTCAATCCCAGAGTAATATGATTGATAGCACCAGTCACTCAGAGGGTTCCAGCTCCATCAGAGTCCAACCTTGTACAGCAGGTCAAATCGTTGCCCATGGAAACACCGCAGATCTTGCCCAAAATCTTGAAAATGTGAGGCAGTATGAGGATGCGCACACACAGCATACTGTCAGAAGTAGAGGTGAAAGAATGTTCTCCCATTACCAACATAATGATTTCTCCAGTGCTGATAATATCAATGATAGAAATGGATTTAACCTAGGTTGGGATTTTTCACAATTGGAACAGCCCAGTAGTACATACCAGCAGCCTGATAGCAGTCATGGGCCTCAGTTACCTAACACTAAACCGACAGGAACCTCTCCCGAGGAGCATGGGTACAGTCAGAGTAATCCCTCCTGGAACCAAGAATCCACAAATATGCATATTAGCCGAAAACCCTACCTCCTTGTTCATCAGGAACCTGCATGTGAAATCCACCCTGACTCCCTAACCAATGACCATGACGATTACAGCGCAGATAAACTGTCAAATCTTACTGAAACAGCTGTTGAATGCAGTGGACTGAACACTCCAGGGTCATCAAGCTTTGTTCAAGGCCATGAAATAAGCAGCAACAGCAGAGGCTCTGCAGTGCCTGACCCTCCGAGAGAAGACTTTTTCAGACCTCATAGAGGCCGCGGACCTCCCAAGAAAAGGCGTCCAGAGATTGAGTCAGATTCAGACAACGAGGCAGAGGCTGGGCCTGCTGGCAAGAGAGAGTGTCTTGGAGATCCTGATGTCACCAAGGAAAGTCCTTTCAAAGTGGAAGTGCAGCGTCCAACACTCACTCTGCAAGACTTTAAAGACGCCAATAAATGGAAAGACTATGCTAAGACTAAGAAGATGCCCCCTTACTTTGACTTGATTGAGGAGAACCTGTACCTGACTGAGAGGTAAGGTGTTGTTGAAGCTGAAGCTAATCATTTTATTTTTTACGATAGTTTCAAGCTGGAGCATAAAAGTCATACATTTCTTTTGTAGAAAGAAGAGCAAGTCTCATCGAGATATAAAGAGAATGCAATGCGAGTGCCCAGTTCTGCCCAGAGAGGAGCGTTCAAGAGGAGTATTTGCATGTGGGGAAGACTGCTTGAACCGGTTGCTGATGATTGAGTGGTGAGTTGAATGTTATAGATAATACTGAGAAACTGTAAGAACACTGTCTTTAAAAAAAAAAAAAAAAAGAAAACACTTTAAGGTTTTCCAGAAAACCATTTGACTACTTCATGTTCAATGTATTGCACAGTTGAACCTGGCTCAGACTACAAGAGTTTTAAAAGTATAACCGATTTTGAAATCGGGTAGCGTCACACGAATAAGGAGAATCTTTACGGATACTCTTCTTTATAATCTCAAGCATGCAAACACTACAAGTTATGAAACAATGGCACATCACATACTACAGGCATTACTAAGATTATCATGTCGGCGGAGGAACGCACCACTTCACTGGACCTCTTGTAAACAACGGAGCTGGTCGTTCAATTGCAATTAAAATGCTTTGTGCAGGAAACCTCTTACTGTTCTCCCCTGTCTCTCGACATTATTTTAGTCACACACGACTTATTTCAGACCCTTAAGCGATGTTATAGTCAAAATTTTAAATCCTAAATATTAAATCTATTTGATATAAATCCGGGCGTCTTCTAGCAGATCAGGGATGTTAAGATTTGATCTTTATATCACTCGTACTACAAGGCAATCTGGGGAGATAAATGGTTCGGAGAAGCCTCAGGTTGGGAACACCCCATGATTGTCTTGAGAGGGGGAACCCTCAAATTGGCCCGATTATCTTGCAGTCTGAGCCAGGCTCTATGGAGAAAGGTGTTGAAAGCTGTTCAAATCGTGATCATCTAGTCTTACAATCATTTTCATTCTTTAGCAACATGAAAGCTGCACCAGAATATGCTTACTGGTAACTGTGTGCATAATAGCAGCTTGAATTTGTGTCAATATTTATTATGCTGATTATCATCCACATTTAGAAAAGTCTAAAAGATTAAAGATTTTTAATCTCTTATTGTTATTTTTTCAAAGGGATGTTATTATTTACAAGTTCACAATATTTTTAACTTTATTTTTTCAGCTCTTCAAGGTGCCTGAATGGAGTCTACTGCTCTAATCGACGCTTTCAAATGAAACAACATGCAGATTTCGATGTTATCCTCACAGAAGACAAGGGATGGGGACTCAGGGCAGCTAAGGACCTGATTGCGTAAGACTCTTCATAGCTTTCAGTATGACAGTTAAAAAGGTTTTGGTAGCATTTTAAATAATTGTGTATTAACAAGGTAATTAATTATTAAGGTAATTTTGCATTTCCATGATGTGCACAGAATACCTCAATAAGATATTCCAAAGAAAAAATGTGTGCTATTTTTGTGAATTACTGAAACACTGTCTGAAAGCCAATGTGTCACTGGAGTTGGTCTTTCTGATTCAGTTGATTGATATTCTTAAAGGTTTTGAGATGTTTGATTTTGTTTTCTTATTTATTTCAGAAACACTTTTGTGCTGGAATACTGCGGGGAGGTATTAGACCACAAGGAGTTTAAAACAAGGGTGAAAGAATATGCTCGCAATAAGAACATCCACTACTACTTCATGTCTCTGAAAAACAACGAGGTAAGTTATAATGAGACCCGTTCTAATCAATGTTAATGTTAAAATGGTGATGTGGTTTAATGATTTAGCTTAGTGACCTGCAATATAGGTAACATTGGATTGTGTTTCTACAGATCATTGATGCAACACTGAAGGGTAATTGCTCCCGGTTTATGAACCATAGCTGCGAGCCTAACTGTGAGACCCAAAAGGTACAGTGTCAAAGAATAGAAACAAGTAACACTCTTTCAGGTTACCTTCCCGAAACTCTGACTCACCTGATGATGATTTTTATCCCACTTCAGTGGACCGTCAATGGCCAGCTTAGAGTTGGTTTCTTCACCACCAAGGCTGTCACTGCCGGAACTGAGCTGACGTTTGATTACCAGTTTCAGAGATACGGGTAACGTTTCACTGGAGTTTTCCTCCACACTTTCTGAGTATTTTGAGCAATCTAAGTTTGTTCTAAAACCAGTTTTATATTATTGGTGGTATAGATAGGTTTTTAATAAGTGGTTGTTCAATCTTCTCAGTGATGGTTTAGCAATAGTGATTTAACCTTTGTTTAAACTCTTTCTACAGCAAAGAAGCACAGAAATGCTTCTGTGGGGCAGCCAGCTGCAGAGGCTTCCTGGGTGGGGAGAACAGAGTTAGTGTTCGGGCAGCTGGGGGGAAGATGAAGAAAGACCGCAGTCGAAAGAGCGCTCTCACCACGGTCAGTCGTCTCTGCCCTGTTTGAAACTGTGTCTTGTCATTGATTACACCCAACTGGCAGTAATGTCAATGTAGCTACACCTCCTCATGAGAATCACTACAACTAAATAATAAAAAATATATATTGCACCAGTGTTAGCTCTGTATTTAAAGTGTACAGCCATAAATGTCTCTGCACCAGTTTCTCATGGACAAGGGTGTCCTATTTGATGATATCATCACTTTGACCTTTCTCAGGTTGATGAGGAGCTGGAGGCGTTACTGGAGAATGGAGAAGGCCTGTACGATGAGAAGCAGGTGGTGTCTCTCTGCAGACTGATGGTCCGAGTAGAAACCATGGAGCAGAAACTCATCTGCCTTAAGCTCATACAAGTATGACCTAACTGGTTTATGCCTAGTTTATGTTGTTGATGGTTGTTTTTATCATGCAGGGCATTTCATTATGTTTTTGTGATACTCACAGGATACTCAAAATCCAACATGCCTGAAGCAGTTCCTGGACCATCATGGGTTGTCTTTGCTGTGGATCTTCATGGTGGAGATTTCTGAAGCTAAAGGGAACAGTGCTAATAACAACAAGCTGCAGTTAGAGGTGAACAAGTCATAAACTTTGTTTTATAATATTCATAATGGTGTCTGCTTAAGTTACTTGGCAGTTGAACATTTCCAGAGTCTCTTCAGCCACTGTGTGTTCACCGATATTATTATTTTATTTACAGATTATGAAGACCTTGGCAGTGCTGCCTATCTCTACCAAGAACATGCTAGAGGAGAGCAGAGTGCTAACCTTCATCCAGCGATGGGCCCAGACAAAAAGTCACTCTCAGCCGACTGAGATGGACGGTTACTCCAGCGAAAACACCTCCCGAGCTCAAACCCCACTCAACACTCCTGATGGTTCCTCCAAACTGGGAACAGAAATGGAAGGCGACTCCTCCAAACCTGCTGTGTACCGCCGCCTTAAAATCATCAGTGAAAACAGTCTGGACAGCGCACTATCCGACGCTAGCAAAGCATCTGACGGGAAGGAGGAAGATGAGGATGATGATGATGAAGAAGAAGATGAATCCTCACATGACGGCAAACAGGTGAAGGCAGACCCGGGGTGTGCGGCTGAAGATCCAGAGAAAGCTTCAATGGAAGAGACTGTGAAAGAGGAGAAACAGGAGGAGGCAGTGACAAATTCAAGCACTCCACATCAACCTCAAACTGACGAGGATGAAGACAAAATGGAGGTGGATTCGGAGAAGGAAACTGAGGTACAAGAGGACACCAGTGAGGGTCAGACAGAAGAACTTGAAGGGCATAAAGAGCCAAGTGAAGAACAGGAAAGCCAGGAGGAGCAGACCAGTCAGGTAGTGACAGAAAAAGCTGAACTGGAAGAAGAACAGCCTGATGTTAAAGTTCAGGAGCCAGAGAGCGAGTTTGTCAAAACAGATGTAACAGATCCTCCACCTGAGCAGCCCCAAGAGAGTGAAGAAGCCCAGGCAAACACACAAGAGACTGAGAATCCTCCTCCACCCCCTCCTCCTCCTCCTCCTCCTCCTCCTCCTCCTGTCAGTGAGGTAAAACCTGGTGAATCCATCCTTGAAGCTGCCCCAAACTCTGACACCACTGAAGTCAGTATGCCCTCTGAGATCACAGCACCCCCTGTGGACCCGCCAGTGATAGGAACCCCCTCTCAGGATGAAGAGGAGGGTGTCTCAGATGTTGAGAGTGACAGGAGTCAGGAGACCCAACTCAGTGCTTTGGACATTAGTGGCATGGCTGCCAGACTTCTGGACAGCTGGAAGGACCTGAAGGTGAGCTCAAAAAGATTCACTTTTAAAGGTAGACATTGTAAAGCGTGCATGAAAAGTTGAAAGAAGCCTATTAATCTTTAAAGCTGTTGTCACATATGCACTCCTGAAAATATCTAGATAATTTCAGTAGGACTGCTCCGGATATTCTCTTGACCTGGCTGTTCATATATGCACCTCACAGCGGGAGACTATCCCTGTCAGACGGGGGGGTGGTATCTGTTTGGATATAACTGTTGTTATACAGTTGTTCTTGTCCTTTCAGGAGGTGTACAGAATACCAAAGAAGAGTCAAGTGGAAAAGGAAGCAAACGGTGAGTTTAGTAATAAAATCAAAAACAAAGGTGTATCTATTAGATGTATTTTCAGTATGATTTACCTGATTAAATGTTCTCTCAGATCGCAGCAGAGATCGTGACACAGCTTTGACTCCACGCAGAGCTTCTGGTAGTCGAGAACGAGAGAGGGAGCGAGACAAGGAGAGGGAACGAGACCGAGATTATGACAGAGACAGGGAACGAGACTGGGAAAGGGAGAGGGACAGAGAGAGGGACAAGGACAGAGAGAGGGACAGGGACAGAGATCGTGACAGAGATCGCGACAGAGAACGCGACAGAGAACGCGATAGAGATCGAGACAGAGACAGAGAGCGTGACAGAGAGCGTGATCGAGGCTCTGACAAAACTCCGCGCAGCACCGAAAGACGAAGGAGACGCTCAGCATCACCACCACCCTCATCCTACGAGAGGAGCCGACGCACTGAGGAACGGTAAGAAAGCTTGTGACTGGAAAAACATTTCAGATTGTCTTCCATGTGTAGTGTAGTCTTTGTACAGCTTTGAGTCATGGACTCAAAGCTGTACAAGTTTTGGAATCCAACTGTTGTCTGGTTTTTAAGGTTTGATCCATCTAACAACAAGACCCCAAGGGGAGTTGGCGGCAAGGAGCGTAACAAACTGTCCACAGAAGAGCGCAGAAAGCTGTTTGAGCAGGAGGTTGCTCAGCGGGAAGCCCAGAAGCAACAACAGCTTCAACAGCAGCAGCAGCAGCAGCAGCAGCAGCAGCAGCTTCAGACTTTGGCCTATGACCCTGCTCTGGCTTATGGTTCCAGCCCTGGCTTCATCACCTACCCTCCTGGATATCCCATCCAGACCTTTGTGGATCCCTCCAACCCCAACGCAGGCAAAGTACTGTTGCCTACCCCTGCTGTTGATCCCAGCATAAACTATGAACAGACGCCTCCCCAGCGTCTTATCTCAGACCTCGGACTAACCTCTCCATCCCCTACTTCCCAGACCGCTCCAGTCCCTACTCTTTCTCAGCACATCACTACCACTAACCTCACCGCTGGAGACCCCCAACAGTACGCCCAGCCAGCTGTAGGAACCCAGGAAGCCGGTGTAGCTGTCCTCTCTGTACCTGCCCAGGCGGCCACTCAGAGCTACACCACTCTGTGGGATCCCAGCACTCAGCAGGCAGTGACGGTGCAGACGCAGCCTGCACAGCAGTATGCCACAGCCCCACCACAGGCCCAGACACAGACAGCCATCTATTACCAGGGCCAGCCATGCCAAACCATATACAGCATCCCCACCGCCTACCCTCAGGCAAACACTCCCGTTATACAGGTAAGGTACCACGCTGGAAAGCCAAACAATTTATTCATTCCACTTTGGTATAGAAACCTGATTGACATATGATGAGGTTCTACTTAAAGAACATTTAAGAAACGACTGCTCAGTTTAACAGAATTTTAAAATTACTTCATCATTTAAAAATAACAAAATTATTGTACTTTGTGTTTCATAAGGCATACACTGAACCAACCGCCAGCTACCTGCACGGCCAGCCTGTGTATCCTGGTCATCAGCAAGGAGTGGTGGTGCAGCAGGGAGGCACGGTTACCACCATTGTCACATCTCAAACTGTACAACAGGTAACACGTACACACTATCCAGTGTCTCCAGCAAAATGATACTTTTTAAGGAGGGAAAGAAGTAGTGGCAATGGGTCACAGTTTGTCCTTTCAGATCAACCCCCACGTTTTGGATTGCATGTGATTTGCCATTGATGGAAAATTCATCATCATGGTGTAAATTAAGTGTACTGCCGCTCAATTCCTGTGCAGAGCCTTGGTGAAAAGATGGCAGTGTTAAAGTAGTGCTTGTTTTTTGCAGAATTTCATTCAGATATTTTTGTATTTTTGTTGATATTCTTCAAATTTTTCTCACCATGTCTGTATTTATCATGCAGTTATCAATTGGTGTTTGCATGTAACAAAAGTCAGTCCCTTAATGTTTGTGAAGTTATCCTGCAGTCTGTCGTAGTCTGTAGCTGTTAACTTAGCCAAAAAACATCATAAGTGTTGTATTCAGCCAAAGAACTAAAGATACACTTCCTTAACACACACTTCCCCTTTGTTTTGTCTCACACAACCCCCACTTCTGGAGCTGCCTCTGCAAACCCACACATCAATTGTTGCATTATGCTACATGTTCAAGTTTGTATATGCTCAACTAAGGAAAAAAACAAACTTGTTTTTGTAGATTACAACAAACTTGTTATTCACAGAAAGATAACTATTCTGTGTTTGTAATGTTGATGTATTTTGTTGAGGGTTAACAAAAATGTTTATTAAAATGAGGCAGCTTTCTATATTAATTCTCAGATTTCAAAATACTACCGTATATCTATTTTTAAAATCCGAACCGTGGGATTTGTGGCAGGTTGCACCCCCAGTAAAAAAGGAAGAATGCTTACATTTTAGCATTTTTTAACTGTATGAGTAAACATAAAAGATTGACTGTTTCAGTGGATTCAACAGGCATTTTGAATTTCCACTATTTGCCCTTTGAAGAACCGTGCTCTACCTGATATGAAGCAACTTTAGGTCATAGTATGGCCACAAGGTGGTAGTATATTTTAAAATTATACAAGTCTTTGGGGCTGCATTGTGCTGGTCCAGTGACAAATCAGTTGTTTGAAATTTCATTCTACTTGAAACAATCAGAGGAAATGACTTGATGGTCTCCATCTGTTAAAACTCTAAATGCAACATGAATGACTCACAACAACAGCTGCTTTAAAAAAAAGCATTTTTAGTGAATTAGTTTCTTTCTCCACGAAAAGAAAATAACAAAGCCAAGTTCTAGGTACAAAAGCTACATGGATTTATTGCTAATACTTACTTTCTATTTCTTCTTCTCTCCAGGAAATGATTGTTCCCAACAATGTGATAGACCTGCCTCCTCCCTCCCCCCCAAAACCCAAAACTATCGTCCTACCTCCAAACTGGAAAGTTGCTCGAGACCCCGAGGGCAAGATTTACTACTACCATATTGTGACAAGGTTGGTACTGCTTGCTGTGTTGTATATAAAGCATATCCTGAACTCTAGAAAACCCTTGCACATTATTCTGAGATTTCTTCCCTCTGTGCATTAGGCAAACACAGTGGGACCCTCCGACCTGGGAAGGAAGCAGTGATAACACTAGCGTGGACCATGAGTCTGAGATGGACCTTGGAACACCCACCTATGATGAAAATCCCTCCAAGGTGAGCTTTACTCTGAAATTATACTATAAAGTATAAAATATGTGTAGTAGTTGTGTGCTGGACTTTTGCTTGAAGCATATAAAGGAATCAAGAGTTAAGAGTGATAATATTCGATGTTCTTTCATTTGGGTTACGAGAAACTATCTTCTTCACCTCTTCATTCGGTTCCCAGGAAGTTTTTTTGTTGGGTGCAAAACATGATTACAGTGTTTGTTCCTTGAGGAAATGGAAGATGCTACAGCGGTGATTATTTTCAGCTGTCTTAGAAAGAAAAAAAACCTCAGCAGGACACCATATTTACAGAGTATTATGACCTCACCAATGACTCCTCCTCCTTCTCATAAAATGGCTTCATCAGAATCTACATGGAGACGAGGATTAAAAGGAAAGAATCCACTGCCCCCCACCCCCTGCTCAGCTGTCTGTCCCTCTGCCTCAAGGCCATAGTTTGCTCAGCTCATCTCTTCTCCCTCTGCCTCGGTTGTTTTCCCCTCTACATTTTTCCCTGACTTTTAAGGATAATAGAAACCATCTGGGAGTGTCCCTTTTTTCTCTGTTAAAAGATGGAACAGAATTGAAAAAGCAATAAAAAACTGAGTGGGGAAACATTGCATATTTTTCATGCAGCGTTTCCCGCCAAGAACAGCTACATGGTCATGCACTATTTCCGATCATGTGTTCATACTGTGTTGGTGTTCACGATCAGTATTACTACAACACATGCCCTGCGCTTGTAAAGTGTCCGATATCACTGTTTTTCGAACACTGTGTTTATGTAAATCCTTTGTGTGTTGTGTTTGATCTTCACCGCTCTGTTGTGGGTATGGGCAGTCAGCTGTTGTCTGCCTGCCCATGTTGTTCAAGGCTGTGGCCGGAGAGGCAGCATCCTGCCAGGATATCCCCGCTATGTGTCAAGTAGCTGGCAAGCAGGTGCTGTTTGACGCACCTCTGACCCTGATAGCTACCGTTTTGCTGCAATTTCCCTTTGGTTTGTTTAAGCCGATGCAGACGGGGCGCTGAGTTTATCAATCAAAACTTTCTCTGTTGAATTATGTTATGTTATGAAAGAGGCGGTAATACTGCCACATACTCTAACATACAGCTAAGGAACGTCAAACACAGAAGAATTTGTGATAAGTTACAGGTTCAAAAACTAAGGTGAAATGTTTGATTATGTTATTTCTGTTCATTGATTACAGTTCTCCACAAAGACAGCTGAAGCAGACACCTCCAGTGAACTGGCAAAAAAAAGTAAAGAGACATTTCGCAAAGAGGTGAGTCCACAGAGTCAACAGTGTTTGCAAAAAAACATCTGGAGTTATATGACATTGCTGCAAAGCCTTCACACCTGTACTTCCGTTGAAGTGTACGCCTTCCAGCCAGTCATGCAAGTTTTCATTTGTTTTGACATTTGACAGTCTTTATATGCACGTTTTTGTTTTGCTCAGATGTCCCAGTTCATCGTGACGTGTCTAAATCCTTATCGAAAGCCAGACTGTAAATTAGGACGCATCGTCAACACAGAAGACTTCAAACACCTGGCTAGAAAGGTAAGATTAAGCTATGCACTGTTCATACACACAGTCAGAACCTCTATTAATGCAGGAAAGCTTTGAAGCTTTTCTCCAGCCTCTGTGTGGTTGGAACACAATGAAAGCATTGGTCAGCTTTTAACTTAAAAGGAAACATTTTTGAAGTTACCCTCAAACCAGAACAAAACAGTTGAGCTCCCACGATCTCTTTCCCCAGCCAAATGTTTTAGCATCGTGCCTCTGGAGGAGAAATAGACATTTTACATGTAAACGACTCTTTTCTCTCTTATTTCACTAATTCCTTTCTAAAAGTACTTTTCAAGCGGATTGTCTTCAAAGGGCAGGATTCTGTTTTTCCACTGTGCTGGTGGGTCAGTGACTTGTTTATGTAGGGAGTGGTTTACAGTGAGTGCCACTGGGACATACCAGGACAGTGAGGACATGGACGTAATTAATAGTAGACGAGATGTTTCATTGTGTCAAATTATAAAGGACAAAGTCACTATCTTAAAATGAATTCACCAACTTAGAGATATTCATTTTAATTTAATAATTTACTGTTCTCCAGTGACAATAACCGTCTTCCTGTTTCCTCAACTCTGCCCATTCTCCTAGCTAACTCACGGAGTCATGAACAAGGAGCTGAAAGCTTGCACGAATCCTGAGGATCTTGAGTGTAATGAAAATGTGAAGCACAAGACCAAGGAGTACATCAAGAAGTACATGCAGCGATTTGGCTCCGTGTACAGGCCGAAGGAGGACACTGAGGTGTACTAGCCTCAAAGGCCTCAGACTCACTCTGAACTAATGTGAGAGAAGCACAGATTTGCCTTTCCAGTCACTCCTTGTTGTCCACACTGGCCAACCTGAACCCGCAAAGTCGTTTTTGTGATGCACATTTATGACTGAAAATTGCACTGCTGCTGCCCAAGAAGCCTTCAGGCCCTGTGGATCGAGAAGAAGCCCAAAAGCTGAGGAGACAGTCAGAGACTCGTGTGGCTCTGAACGACCCAAAACTCCAGGTGCAGTGGGTGCAGTGCTTTTGAAGGATGACACTGAGGGGTGCTACAGAGACTTATGTTTTCACTGACAGTTTGATTTTAAGCTTTTTTTTCTCCATTTATGGCTCTTACATGTTCCAGGAATGGTAACCTCAATTCCACTTTTTAATCTCTTCTAGCTCTGAATGAGGATTACTCGAAGGAATCAGCTTTTGGTATCAATTTATCAGGTTGTGTTTTTGTTTCCTCTCTTTTTGTTCAAATGGATCCATGACCTTCCCCCCCTTCACTTCCTTTTTCTTGTGCACGCTTCCACCCCCTGTCACTGATTCTGTATCTGGTGCTGCTTTTAACTGGGCTGTGGAGGTCCAAGCTTCCACTCCTCAAACCCCTGCCTTCTTAACCACAAGACGTTGAAGCCTCCGTTGTTTTATGAATGCATGATGTAGGCTGAGGTCAGCGTGACATCCTTTATGGAAATTCCTAGATTTTCCAAGTCTCCTGCTTCAACTAATATGCCCTCAGCGAGATGAGCTTTTTACTCGTAACACACTTCACACACACACTTCGGGATCAGCCAATAACCAGCAGATTGGCAATGGTGTTAGGAAATTATGTTTCCATGTCTTTTATCAATTTGTGTATAATTACGGGAGCAGGGTTTGAATGCTGTGTTTGATGTGCCGTTTAGCTTTGTATCCATTTTTCCCCAGTTCCTGTTCGACCCCCCCCCCTAACTTGTTCTGCCCTGTTTTGTCTTACAGGAATAATACCGAGCATTGCAGTTTTAACCGTTTCTAAACATCTTGTGAGTTCTGGTTCTTTTATCATTTATATGTCCTAGTGAGACGTTAGAGACACTAGGGTGGCCTTGCTACAAATAAATTGCCAGGATTTCTACAGTTGTCGAGGTTGTTTCATTAGCATTAGGTCACGGTTTGTTGCAGCCTATCAAATTGCAGTAAACAAAGTTCCAACATATGTACATTGCTTTATGTGAATATTATTGAATAATAGTTTTGGGGATGTTAAATAAGCATATACTTTGTAAAAGGACTATCATTTCATGAAAGTGTAAATAATGTGTAAAATTACCAAAGCTGTACGCAGGAGAGTCGGGTCAGGGAGCGCAGTGAGCCCACCCAGCCTCACCAGCTCAGTACTCCTGATGCAGCTCCCACATCAGACAGTCAAACCTGGGTTGCAGCTGACTCACAGCCCTCTATTTTATTTCAGTGGTGGGGGAGATTATAATGTTTCTTTCTTTTTTTTTGTTATTATTTTTCTATGTACAAAGTAAGTTTCACCCAACTTTACTGTAAGTATTGTGTAAGCACATTGTCATACCGAGTGTATAAACATTTTAAAGATAATAAACTTTTTTGTAAAATTAATCCATTTTTATTCTACAACAAAAAGCACATTCTAGACCAGCTTTTTATGAGAAAGCACTTCGCAACGAGGGCATGAAAAACTGCCTTTAGTGGGCAGAATATCGGACAGAACCAAACTTGAGGTGAACAGCCATGTTCTGAAACTGGATGGGCTCAGAAAGTAGAATAAAGGGTTCAAGGTAAACTTGATTATACCCGAGGAGCAATTTGCTTTTCAGCCAGCAGTGAATAAAACAAAACAAAAATGAAAAAAACACTAAAATACACATCAAGTCTGTGTGAGTCACACACACAGACTGTGAACCACGCACACACAGTGCTCACATTCATTTTGTTGCAGTGTTGATGCCTGTGATAATATATATATTTGAAATCCCATTGTTTTGCTTGATTGTTTTTTGCTCTTGCTTAGCTCCTATTTTGTTGCAGGTTGGCTATTTTTTTGTTTGCATTTAGTTTTTGTTTGTCGGACTTGACTCTGACTGGCACCCCAAAATTAAAAAAATCATGAGATACTGTTGAGGAGACCGATGGTACCAAGGACAAATGAGATCTGAAATCTGTTGGCCCTGCACTTACAGGCAGAGTATATCTACGACGGGATGGCAGCAGCTTGTACTCTCTCTTGAAATGTAGGCAGAGAGAGGTACAGTAAACAACAGGTAATACAGAATTGCAGTAACAATAGATATACTAGTATAAGTAATAACTATAACAACGATTACTTTAAGTGTAGCTGATGATTGTATCAGTGGGAGATAAGCAGATCCACAGCAGAATCGTCTTTCCCCACTGTGCAGACATACGCCCAATCCCGTTTTAGATAGGCTCCTTCCTCTAATAAGGGCTGCACGTGGGATGGATGCCTCTACAGCTCTTGAGAACAGTTTTTGAGCCAGATGTTCGGAGCAATAGAGAATCAAAGTGATCAACTGCCTTCATTAGACGTTCCATGTGCTTTAAATATACAAAGAAACAGTGATGAGTGTAGAGGTTCTGCAGAGCTTCCCCTTCTCTCTCTCGTCCGTCCCAACCCCCCTCCCAGTGTGTGCACATTCCACAGCTCCATGCCTGTGTGCTCCAGACCGCAGTTAAGCAGTCCCGTCTGGAGTATGTGACGGCATGTAACACTGCCTGAGGCCTTCGGAGATGCCTGCTACCACTTAGAACTGAAAGCAAAGAGATCATTAACAGATTTGAGTTCAGGGCAGAGCAGGAATCAGATTGTGCCTCAGAAAGAAAGAGGAAACTTTGCTCCAGAATATTTTGGAAGAGGCTGTTATTTTCATTTCATCCTCAAATTATTAAAAACCTCTTAACAGATTTCCCGTAGGCTTTTGGATAGGAAATGTTCTTGAACACTAAATCCTTGATAAGGGGTAGTGTATTTCAAATATGGTGAGCAAGCACACTTTGTAATCCATCAAGTGGGTTTTATATTTTACTGGAAGTGGCAGACTTGTCTATAGGTCTGTGGATGTAGTTAAAGTTGATAACCATTCTAATATCCACATTTACATTTAAAAAAGACAACTCTCATTGGGTGAACTTCTTTGTGTTGCTATAAATTAGAAGGCATTTTAAGCGAAATTAACAAAAGCAGGCCAGATTTGAGGCTGAGATGTTTATCGTTCAGATCAACGGGAGGCTTAAAAAACATAAAGAAATGGTATTCTTCAAAATTAATCAAGCCTATTGTATGTTAAATAACATTTTCCCAGCTATTTGAATTGTGCATTCATTAATTAAGCTGCAAATCATTTCACTCAGTTCATCAAAAAACTTTTAAAAGCTCAAAAGTTTCAGTTTTTTTACCCTTCATTACCAATGATGGTTTACTTTTAGCAAGTGATCCATAGGCTAGCATTTTCACCTGTTTCTTGAAACTTTTGGCTTACATGTACTGTATTTATATATGGAAACTTTTAATATCAATATCTATTCATAAGGTTTGACAAGTTCATTATCAGTGGCGCCATATTAATAATTTAGTTGTACGCTAGCACTTTTAGCTGTGTAAACTATTTTGCAAGCTTGTAGAAATTCTTTAAACCAGTTAGAAATGTGTTCAGGTCTCACAGAAGACTCAGGTGCTGTTGCAAATCATGAATTTAATTGAATTTTTCTTAGAAACTACTTAAGCCCCTCTTATTTTCAGAATAAAATAATGTAAGCAAATGTATGCTGCTATGCAAACTGCAGATTAAGATGCCATTAAAAAAAGGAGCAATGACTTCAGTTATTTATTAAATGAATAAAACTCTAAAAAAAACAAAACATGGAGGGATACCATAACAACATATATACACAGAACCGAACATTTGTGGCGTTAAAAAAAATATCAAACCATCTGAGGACGTCGCAACAACGTAAGGTTTGTTACAGAGTCCTGTAAGGTGAGAAAAAATAAAAAGCCATTTGTAAATCCATTCCTATGTTTTATACATCAGTGCGCACAGTTTTTTTAAATGTGCGCTCACTGACTAAACTGATTTTAAAAACAGTGAGCTCGGATTTACCAGTGTCACTTGCACAACACAGATATTAATGCTTGGACTAGATTGTGTCAAGCTTCACACTTTAAATGGTGATGAAATAAATGCAGAAGGAAATGATGTTGACGTGAACACATGCATTGATGATACAGCATCTATATTTGTTTTGCTTTTTGTCATACAAGAAATCAAGGTGATAAAAGGAGCTGTGCTTTCTGAATATAAGAGGAAAAGATTAGCCTCTACTCATGTTTTCAGACTCCACAGGTCATTCTCAATCTCATGCCATGACTTATTGAATAAAACAGTTACATTGAAGATATTTACATTCATGGGTGATTATTAGGAAGAGCTAAGAAAGGTCATTTATATTTTTTTAAATGCTACATTTTCTTGTCTTCTAATGAATTTCTAAAAACAACACTGGTGTATAACATATATCCTCAGTGTAAATAAATAACAAGGCTACTTAGTGACAGTGGCAGAAAAAGAATGAAATGATCAAGAGTGAAGAAAAGATTAAAAGTGTTCTTATAAAGAAATCAGTAACTGGAGGCATCGCTGGGATTGTTAAGATCTAACAACAGAAATTGGCCAGGTAAACCCTAAATTTGGTTTCTTTGGAGTTTTCCTGTATTCAGGACATGCACAGGAAATGCTCCATTACAGGGAGAGTCACATCATGTTGGGAAGTAGTGTTATTGGAAGAAACCATCTCCCCTTTGGCAAAAAAAATAAATCCACAGCAGTTCCACAACTGCAAGTGGTTACTGAAGAAGTGATTCATATAACAGGGATAGCCAGACATAAAACTTAATGATCCACACCGGCCATTTTAGTTTACATTAGCAAATAGTAGGGCTGATTTTTTAGTAGGAATACATCTGATTACTGACTGAGTAATACAAACAGTGGTCTTAGGATAATAACACTCGTGCCACACATGTAAACATAGTTTTCTCCTATTTCTGCTGCAAGCAAATATTCAGTAAAAACCCAGATTTGTGTGCATGTAAACAACTTTGTACTTATTGTTGTGTATGTGGAGTAAATTGTGAGTCACATCCTATCTGTAGTGTTCACTGAGCAAGGCACTGAGGCTTGAAGAGATTTCATTCATGCAGCTTATCCATAAAAAAAACATCAAATGGTGACTTATAACATGGGTAGAGGAATATATTACAAGAATATGTTGTTCTTTTAGCAAAACTGAATTATAAATGTCCACCAAGCAATTCCAAGCATCAAAGGCAGCCTCTTACAGTGACAGAGGGGCTGATGTCAGAGTGCCTCCCTTCTCATCTCAATCTGTTCTTCACTTGAGTCTCTTAGTGTCCCATAATGTATTTGAGGAGCCGTTACACCACGGAGACACCCTGCGTTGGAGAGTTAAGACCCGAGACCACGTCAGGCCTTTCGATGCGGGCCAGTGCAGAACACAGCAGTCCCAGAGTGGAGCCTTCTTTCTGGGCCCAGTTAGAGAGGAGCGTGTGAGCGGGGGCCTCTCCACGCCCAAACAGGTCCAGCTGTTCAGGCTCGTAACCCAGCGCTGCACCCAGCTGCCTCCAGCCCCGGCCCCCTCCCTCCTGAAGGAGGCGCTCCACTTCTTCCTGTCTGTGAGGGGGGAGGTTGATGTACAGACGATTGTCCTGCTTGCTGTCCCTCTTGGTACCTGTGGAAACAAAGTAAGCTCCGTTAGAAAAAAAGTGCCTCGTCATCATTTTACAGGAAAACTTTCAAGTGGTCTGAAGAATTTTTGCACAACAAACAAACTTCTATCCACAGTCACTGTTTATTCCCTTAGCCCACTGTATGAATCAGTGAAGCCAAACAAATGTGACATATCCATTTACTCAAAATTTGTATTTGTTGAAATCAATTTTTGCTAGCTAGCAGTCCTCTCTGCACTGTCGTTAGTTGACACGTTACAACATGTCTTGGTTCATTACTGCTCAGACTGTCTAGCACGGGATAAGCTTGAATCATGGTGGCGAGAAAGCACATTCATAAACATCCTTAAACTTCTGCACAGAAATGTTACTGCTCATAAGGAACCTCAAATGGACAGTCGACAGTAAAGTTCTCTCAAAAAGATCTAATGAATTCTTCTTATTCTAATGGAATATCTTTAACAGTAAAGATAAAGGTCGTGAGGTTTTATAAACAAGGACTTTTTAATCATACAACGTACAAGTCGCCAGAAATAGTGCGACAACTTGATTAATAACAACTCAAGTCCTGTACCCTGCCTTCAGATTGTGTATGAATTTATTTCCGTTTTTTTCCCTTCCCTTGTGACTTTATTGCTCTAAGGGCGCACTCACACTTGGCAAGGTTGTCCCGTACCGTGCTCATGCGTAATCGCCCCCCGCCCCTACCCATTCCCCCAATGACCTGCACTCACACTGCCACAGGAGTAACTGGACCTAAACACGGTTACCTTTCAGCCTACATAACGTTGCATCACAACACATGGCTTTACGTGATCATGAAGCGTTCTCAGTT